ATAGCTCCGGCTGCCACTACTTGCGCTCGTCCGAAAATGCCAACACATTCGTGGTTATTGGAATGCGCGGCTCCTTGTCCAGCATTTCCAGTTAGCATGAGATGTTTGCTGATCCTGGTTCACTTGTCAAATGCGATTGAGCGCCAACGACAGCTTTCTTATTAAAAAAAAATGCCTTGGCGGCATCTTCTGGTTCCTCTGAAGTTGGCACAGTGGTGCTATCTGGAATGCAGCATATACACTGATTCTGCTGAAGACCTGTAATGTGCTTCCAGGTTTTCGCACAGGCGCATTCTCGCGCGAAGTTTTTGATAAGGTTATAGTGGTTAGTTTTCTCAAGAGCGAATTAGGAATTTGTAGAGCAGGCTCAATGCTTTGTGTCAGGAGTGCGAGCATGATCTGAGAGGAAGCCCGTCACCTCATATGCGCAACCGCTGTTGTTATCTAGCAAACTGCAGTGCCAATAATGCCTTCTCCACGACGGCCTGTGTCGGAGGCACACCCAAGTCCACTTGTAATGATACAAACAGCTCTGATTGTGCCTTTTTTTAGCTTTCCGCAATATTTCAACATCTTTACTTTGGGATATCTGTCCGAGATGCACACTGATTCTGTATCCTGAGTTATGCCTTCATGCTCCCTATGCATCACCTTGGTTTTTCCATTTTGCCAAGTGTTCCGGTGAACCTAAAAATGGTGAAAATATTTTGTTTTTACACCGGAACCTTCCGGTCACATTTTCATTCCGTTCTGACACTCTGGGTGCAGCGATAGCTCAGCAAGTCTTGTGGGGCATTTTTAGGTGCCTGCCCATTCCGCCCGCTGGAGCAAGAGATAGAAAAGGTAGAGAGGAGAGGGGGAGATTTATTCATGACCCAATATCAGGAGTTCGCTGTGATAAATGAGCAAGTCACCTGGGGTGCTTTCCGTAGCATGCATGCGCTGCCCTTCGGACAGTGGAGTGTGGAATAAACTGCGAGGAGAGAGAGAGTGGAAGCTTTTAGTCCCCGCCCAATTGCAGGTGGCACAGGGATCAAGCCATGAGGGGTGTTTCCAGAGCCTGGGGGCACCACCCGCCGTAGAAAGGGAAGTTGCAAAGCGAGAGGGAGATTTCAATTTGTTGCCAAAGTGCAGGGTGGCACCACAATAAGCTATGAAACGTATTTGAGACGCTTTCCAGAAGCCGCCCACTAGAAAGTGGCATGGAAGTTGCGAGGAGAGAGAGGAGATTTGCTTCTCCGCCTAGCAGTAGGTGGTGGTTTAATTAGCTGTGGAACCGACATGGGATGCTTTCCGAAGCCTGCTTGCGCCACTTGCTGGAGGTGTTGATTGTTTCTCACCAAATTGTGGAGGGTGCTAAAGTTAGCTGTGTAAGCTACACAGGATACTTCCCAGAGCTCTCATGTGCTGCGTGCCTGGAAAAAAGATGGAAGAAGTAGTGGGGAGAGGAAGGAAGGGAAGATTAATTGCTCTTCCCTGCGCAATTTCAGGTGGCGCTACAATTAGCTGTGCATGACGACTTGTTGCGATGCAAGCTTGTTGGTACGAATCCATCAATAGAAACCCAGCACCGATTCAAACACATTCGAGAAAACATCACATGAAGATGGGTGCTGCTTTTCGAAACCTGCGCATGCCGTGAGCCTGAGAGAGTTGAAAAAAGTATCAGGGTGAAAGAAAGTGCTAGGTGTCTGTTTGTGGTGTTATTCTACAATGAGCTGCCAAGTCACCAACATACTGCACTGCCAAACCTACACAATCGGTTCCATAGTCATTATCCAAATATGGGCAAGGAACAAGTGCTCAGAAAAGTGTTTTCCAATGTACCAAGGGTTCTCTGTTGCCGTAATAAAAACATTAATGACCTGTCAGCTGAAGCCTCGTTCTATGGCCTATGTAATAGCTTGCCCTCGATGAAAGACTTGCAAACACTTTAAAAAAAAAAATGAGATTCTCGTATTAAGTGCAGCTATACCTGAACTAGCCTCAACATTATTTGTATGGTGTGTAGTGGGGAATTCGCAAGACACTGACTAGTGGGACCATCCCTGAGTGCGAAGCGCGAGCTGTAGACGCTGGGCTGCCCGAGCTGTAGACGCTGGGCTGCCCGAGCATTTGTGTCTGTACTTGCCAGCCCTGCAGATCTTTCGAATTGGACAGCAGCTTGTGACAAATGCTTCGCAACACTGCGCCAACTCCTTACCTCACCACCCGTACTGCATCATTACGACCCTACTGCGCCGACTGAAGTACACACGGATGCAAGTGGCGTCGGTCTTGGTGCAGTACTCGCGCAACGCAAACCAGGTTTTACGGAGTATGTGGTCGCCTATGCCAGCCGCGCCCTCACTAAGGCAGAAGCCAACTATTCTGTTACGGAAAAAGAGTGCCTGGTGATTGTGTGGGCGTTAAATAAGTTTCGCCCCTATTTGTATGGCCAAACTTTTGATGTGGTAACTGACCATCACGCACTATGTTGGTTGGCTTCACTGAAAGATCCTTCTGGTCGCCTCGGACGTTGGGCACTACGCCTCCAGGAATTCGACATACGCGTCGTCTACCGATTCGGGTGAAAGCACTCTGACGCAGATGCGTTTTCATGATCACCCGTGAAATCTGATGACACGGAAACATCAGCCCTTGACCTTCCCCTCTTTACCGTCAGCGTCACAGACATGCCATCCGAAGAGCGGAAGGACCCTTGGATTGGCTCGCTCTTGAATATGCTTTCTGACGCATCAACTTCCGGTTACTCGCGTGCTCTTCGCCGCCAAGCAACGCATTTCACCATACGGGATGGCTTGCTATACCGTCGCAACTACCAAGTGATGGGTCGTAAATGGCTGCTAGTCATACCCAGCCATATGCGGTCCGATATCTGCGAATATTTTCATGCTGAGCCGCAACACGCACATGCTGATGCACTAAAGACGTACGAACAGATCCGCCAACGTTACTACTGGCGGGGTATGTACACGTTTGTACGCAAACACATTCGCTCATGTTCCCAGTGTCAGCAGCGCAAGACATTTCCTCATTCCCCCAATCAACTGCAGCCTTTGCCATGTCCTGCACGCCCATTTGATCGTGTTGGGATTGACCTTTACGGCCCGCTACCGTGCTCTGTTGGTGGTAATCGATGGGTGATAGTGGCTGCCGACCATCTGACAAGGTACGCCGAAACGGCAGTGCTACCTTCGGCTGGTGCTCGTGACGTTGCAACCTTCATCTTGCATTGGTTTGTTCTTCGTCATGGTGCACCACGGGAGCTCCTGAGTGACAGGGGCCGCGTATTTTTGTCCGAAGTTTTGCAGCAGCTTTTACATTCATGCCGCATGGTACACCGCACATCAACAGCCTACCACCTTCAGACGAACGGCCTAACGGAACGTTTCAATAGAACCCTCGGAGACATGCTCGCTATGTATATTGATTCCGACCACTCCAATTGGGACGTTGTTCTTCCTTTAGTGACGCACGCCTACAATACGGCGATTCAATCAACAACAGGCTTTTCTCCATTTTCTCTGTTATATGGTTGTGACCCATGCAGCACACTCGACACAATTCTACCATACAATCCTGTGCCTCCGAGTTCAGCCCAGTTTCTGAAATGGCCGAACATGCCGAAGAGTGTCGTCAGCTTGCACGGTCCTTCACAGCCGATAATCAAGCCCTCCAAAAAAATCGCCATGACCGTGATCTTGTTCAGGACACTTTCCCCGTCGGTTCTCTCGTGTGGCTCCGACTGCCTTTCCACTCTCCTGGACTGTCTCCCAAGTTTGCACCGAAGTATACTGGCCCTTACCGCGTCATACAGCACCCTTCTTCTGTCACCTATGTGATTGAACCGCTCAAGCCGTCCACAGACAAGCGTCGCCTTGGTCGTGAGACGGTCCACGTCAGTCGCCACAAGCCCTGCTACGACCCTCCTGTCTTCTCGTCACCTTGAGTCACCAGGATGGCTCGTCTTCGTCGCCGGGGTGTTGTAGTGGGGAATTCGCAAGGCACTGACTAGTGGGACCATCCCTGAGTGCGAAGTGCGAGCGTGTGCATGAGCTGTAGACGCTGGGCTGCCCGAGCCTTTGTGTCTGTACCGGCTGCCTGCCTACTACCTGGCGTCGCTATTAAACTCCCTTGCAGGTGGAATCTTTACTGTGACACGAGCAGTGTTAATTGACATATACAAGATGATATATTAATTGGGCATTATGTAGACATGGTGAGGAAATTATAAAAACAGTGACAAAACAGTTCAGTTTGGCAGGTTGCAGTTTTGATGAGAGAAGCCCTGATTTGAGGCTTCCACTCTCCTAAAAACAGAAAATATACTCATGTCTCATTGACAAGTTATGGTCCAGCCTATAGGTAGAAGCATTTCAAAGGGAGCTCTTGAGCACACAGTAGGTGCAGAATTTTAATTAGTGTTCTTTTCTAACCACTAACCACGTGTACCATTAGCCTTTTTAGTTGCTGTCTACATTATGCTGTGGTTCTATAATAGCACCATAGGCTCTCATGGTAGTAACTCCACACACTCTCAGTTCTTTTGTTCCTCTCTTAGGCAAATTTATGATTCGTCACTGCTGTGTTAATTTTTTGAGCACAAGCTGGAGACGGCAGCTGCTGTCTGAGAAAACCATCTCTAGGCTCTAGTGAAATCTGGTGTTCAACTAGTTTTTACCTGTTGAAAAATTTACTCCCTGGTTTACACATTTTTAGGAGATTTGAATTCACATACAGTCCTGTCGATTTTTCTTTTGCTCTTTTGACGGTCTTTAAATAGCCCTTGTTGCTTTTTAAACCTTTTGTAGTATTATAATTAGCTCTAAGTATCACTTATGCACTCTGGTGTCATTCTCATTGTTATGTTACTCAGTGTGGTAAAATCCTGCTCTTTTTTTTTATATGCAGTGGCCTTGTTCTTCTTGTCCTGCCCTATTGTATTTTAAATTGATATGTGTATAAAAAATAAATGGACAACTGCATAAACTGTGCAGGTGAAATGTGTGGGTCCCAAACTAGTGCCGTTCTTGAAGACGGTTGCCCTCTACTTTGTGGTGGCCATCTCATGGCAACCATCATGGCTGGGCTGCCTGCTCAAGTGCCTGCCAGTGGTCTTCCTCATGGTGTTTGTCGTGCTGCACGGCATCTCGCTTGGTGACGCACGCCACTGCTACTCGCGCCGCGTGCTCTTTGGCCTTGGCCTGTCTTGTCTCGGTGATGCGCTGCTTGTGTGGCCTTGGGGTTTCCTGCCAGGAATGGCGGCCTTTGGTGCGGCCCATCTGTTCTACATTGCAGCCTTTGGCACGCGAACCGCTCAACCTGTGGGCTGGTGCTGTCTGCCTGGCCTGCATCGCCGCTGCTGCCACTTTGCTGCTGCCAAATCTGAATGGTGAGTCACCGCATTGGTTTGGGTGAACTGCCATTTGAGGTTTTTATCAACACTGGCACGTTTTACATAAAGAAGGAAACGCTCATTCATAAGCTGCACTGTAGCTGTTATGGTGAGTGGTAGCGGTATTACAAACAAAAATGTCAACCCAAGCTTTGTATGAAGTTTCCTTTATGTGCAGTAATACCTCAATAAATAGAATGGAAAAAGATATCTAGACAAGCACATTTTCTAGGTAAGCAGGGTGTGAAAATTGCAGGGAAAAGTCAAGTTCTAGTATGAAAAAACTTTACCTTTACTGATCAGTTTTTTGACAGAAACACCTTTGTAAAGGTTTTAAAGAGAAAAAAGTGCTGGAAGTTTGCACCAAGTAGGAGCAAAGCATGGTACAGTGAAGCACGGGCTTGTCACCACTTGTCCTCCTCTTCAACTGACACGTCGAGTTTCGATGTGCACGGCTTCCTCCTTGTGAGTACGCACTTTCCTGGGATGTCCCATGACTGTCTTGCCATGATTAGGCAGTGTAGAGCGGAGGTTGCGCACAATTTCAGAATTGGTGGGTTAGCAGAGCATACTCCCGGAGACACAGTTCTGCAGTACCTAACTGGAGACGCGGTGTGAAGGCTACACTATTACGATGAAGGTGCTGTGCATAGAGGTGCTTGGAATCACAAGAGACAAAGGTGTTTCGCTTAGAGCGCTTATAAAGCCATCGATGTATGGATGGATCAGCAATGGATGAATTTTTCCTCTCTGCGACAGAGGTAATTCAATAACCAACGGGAAGCAGTAGAATTGCAATGCTTCACCTAGCAATTGAAAACTGCTATTGCTCTGGCTTTTTTCCCAACTGTAGTCCATGCTTTTCCTACTTTTAGGTCTGAGGGAAAAATAATGAAAGTTATTGCTATTTTTTTCAACTGACGAGACAGTTGACATACATCCACCCATTTTCTTAACCAGAACGCATGAACATCAACCACCGAGTCTGTAAGCATCTGTTGCAGGTGTCCCGGTGTCTGGTTCCTAGAACAGCTGAGCAGAAGACAGGAGCACAAAACTGTTCATCGCAGGCATGCACATATTCTTGTTGATTTTGCCGCTGTGCTCCGTTCAATGCGGCTTATCGACTGGGCGGCCGAGGCTCATGCGTTCAGGTTTTAAAAAATGGGAGGCTGTACATAAGGCGTGACAGCATATCCTTTGGCAATGCCTAGCTCGTAATTATTTGCCAACATGTCCCACTTGCTGCTTTGTTGAAGTGTCATTCGGTCAAAATAGTCAAATATGAAAAAGAGAACAACCTTGCAATACTTAGCCGTGCTGATGTAGAGGTTTAGTTAAAAATAAAAAAAGAAGAAATGAACTATGGCCTCCATGTTGTCTCCTAAAATATAGGTACACGCTGATGCCTTCAAAGAATAATTCATGAGTGTCAACTGAGCAGGCGTTTTTCAATTCACAGTGGTGGTTCAACTGGCGCCATTTTGCTTCAATTCCATATTGCTGCGCACATTCGAGTACAGCTTGCAGCAACTGCGGCAATGTTTACTAGTTCACCTGTTTACATAGCATCAGAATGTTTAAGGCCCAAAAATATTCTTGGTCTCAACAAACACTACTAGAGCTTTTTCATAATCCTGCCGTAGCCCCGCGATGCTTTCCAGCAATGCACTTTTTTTCATTACATTCAGCCTAACAAAGGCTTCTGCAACTCTGCTTCTGCTTCTGTTGAAAGTTTTGTATGCCTTTGATAGTCTCTTTTATTTGGTACGGAACTGGTGATAGCACATAGAAAAATGATTTTTATCATATGCGAGTCTTTTCACGTATCAGAATATAGACGCTAAAGCCAAGTGGCAGCAGCTGTCAACACGGCGCAAAGTAAACAACGTGGTCACGCAAATGAAGATTCGGCGAGCAAAAGTGATATTTCCGAATAAAAGTAGATGCTTCTTAATTGTGGCATGCAACACCCTTCTGTATGCACATCATAAAGCTAAGCCTTAATGCCCATGTTCAGCTAGTTCGACACGATGTGGTGCAGCTGCTGCTAGCGCACGTCCCAGCACTCTCTTAGTTGTGAAACTGACTTAGCGTGGAGGCAAGCCTGCACATGTGGAACTGTGCTCTCAAGTGTTGTAAATGCCGTTAGAACTAAGTGTTGTCATCAATCAACAAAAATAATAACAAAAAAAAAAGCTTGAAGGCCATCTGGTTTGTCTAGGCTGGAACTGCCATCAGCAGAAGCTTAGCGGGCTACTCATGCCTTTTTCTTATCATTATTACTGATGATGCAACAGCAATTGTCCTCAGCTACACACTTATTGCTGGTAGCTCGTGTTTCAAGGGTAGCATTTGAATAACTCCAGCTAAATTTTTCAGTTCAGTTTCGTGAGATTTTATAAATAAATTGGCAATTACTTTTTAGCATCATCTCCACAGCATAGTACGTTAATCAAAGTATCGTGCCGACATTCATGATTCATCTGTAGAATCAAGGAAGCTGTTGCACCTTGACAAATTCATTCTTGCCACCACATATTCAAATGTCGGCACTTTAAACGCTGTCCCCAGCTGTCATTGCAGCCGTTCGAGGACTTCCGTTGCACTTCAAGTGTCAGAGACCAGATACACAAAATACAAAAGTGCATGTGCTCGTTGGAAAAAGAAAAAGAAAATTTTGCAGTATGTCTCTGTTCTTGCAATGTTGTTGTTACCCGTTGTCAAAGCAAGGTGCACAGAATACGCGAGTAGAAGCATTTCTTTTTTTTTTTGCAGAAAAGTTTATTTTAGATGTCCGTAAATTAGGCGGGGACGCAAGTCAGTAGTAAATACAGCAATCCAGGTTGAATCAGATCTAATCCAATTCACATCCTAAATAGTTGAGTCAGTAAATACAGCAGTTCAGGTCGATCTAATTCAATTCAATGCAGTCCACATCCTAAGCGGCATAGGCTACAGCCATTATAGTAAACTATGCTCCAGTAGCAGAACTGGCCAGGCTCCCGTGTCCTCATTTTACTTGGATGCCATGAGATGGCACCACTTCTACATTTCCTAGCAGCTTTAACTGCGATGTCGGACTGTCGCAGGCTCCTTCAAACTTTCATGTGCAGTTACTTTTAACTTGTGTGTTTTCGTCCTGGTTTTTCTGAACATCAATCTGCGGACTTGCTCACTGCCTGGCTCAGGGGTATTATTTTGGCCAGATGTGCATATTCTTTCACATTTACTACATGTGCTCAGAACATTCTGAGTGCGCCTGGTAAACATGTTTACTTATATGGTGCGCCTGATTGTTTTTTTACCGCTCGAGGTTTTGTTTCCAGTGCACAGAGTTTTCCATGCAGACGTGGCGGTCATGGAATTTTCTTCTAATCATCATGGAATACCTGGAATAGTCAGGGAATTTAGAAATAGGAAATTGGTAGACACCCTGTCTTAGGTCCCTTGTTATGGCGCATCGAAGGAGTGGCCATTGTGGGGGTGGTGGGGGTTTGCCGTTCACATTATGCCCTCCTTTACTCCAAGGACTTCTAGAAAAAATAAAGCAAAAACCACCAGCATTACTTTCACCTGATCATTTAGTTGTCGTATCTCATATGGCATATGCATGTTCGCGGGAAGCCGTACTTATTGCCCAAGCATGTGAGTTGCACGAGAACACTTGTCCAGTAATCGCTTTTTGATAGCATATTCATGAACAAAAATTCATGTGTACAGGGTATTGTTAAAGCCAACATTTCGACAAGCTTACTTGGCTTCTTCAAAATGCCTTGTAGAGAAGAGCATCCCTCCACTTTATACTTGGATTGATCCCCGGCTCCGGCTTGGTATTATTGAATTTGGTACCAGTTTTATTTTCTACAAGACGTTTCATAAATATTATCAGAAGTGCTCAACTCGAAGTCTTTGACAGTGAAAGGAGAATGCCAGTTAGTGCTGACGCTTCTAAAAATTATATAGTACAATAGAAGTGATCCATAGTGAGCTGTGGCGATTATTCAATTCACAATCTATGCAGGCAATTGCATATAGTATGTCCTGATTTGCAACAAGTTTTCTTCACCTTCTTTCTTTTTTGCAAGGCTGCTGGTTTTCTGGTTAGGATTTTTTTTTCCCCCTTTTGCAATCACCTTATGATGCCAATAATTTGTAGAAACCGCATTGTGACTAATTGTTGACTTCAGCATGCGTCTTGTGCAGTGCAGTGAAACCAAAGTGCGAGTCTCTTCCATGCTTAGAGCTTGATGAAATGCTGCTGTGTAGGTGGTTAGCCTTTGTGTTTGCATTGATGCGGTATATCTAGCATGCACCCAAATAAAAATATTCACCAAAGATTTGCCTGTGTTTTGCACCAAGTGATGCTCAACTCCTTTTTTGGTGGTCTAAACCTGCTTTGTAACATAGTTGCTCCAAATCAAGTAGGCTATTTCCTGCTCTAAAAATTGCTCCAGATCCTAAACACAATTCAGCTGCACTCAAGCTCAGGGCCACTTTCCCCCTTTTGTTTAATGAAGAAAATAAAATTTTAGACTGTTAGTTAAGTGATGGGAGCTGGTGTAATGTTCTCAGCACATGTCCCTGATGTTAATGGACATGAGGTTGCTAATTTTCCTTGCCACTAGTCACCATTTGTACAGTCTTGCGAACGCATGGATGCCACCTTGCTTCTTTAACCTTGTCAGTGCATTTGATATGATGTGCTGATTGAGTTGCTGATGTAGCTGACTCAGTAGCCACCCAGACTTGACATATTCAAAAAAAAAAAAGGAGAGTAGTAGTCAAGCGTGCCCTCTTGTTGCGCAGGCGTGTACCTGTTTGCTGTGCCAGTGTATGGCCTTGTGCTCATGGTGATGGTGTGGCGTGGCGTCTCACGCGTGCGATTCTTCGACGACCTCTGGACCTGGACCAAGCTGTGCTCCTGCTTTGGGGGCATCCTCTTTGCTGCCTCCGACCTACTGATTGCGCTCAACCTTTTTTACCTGAGCACTCCTCCCAGGTACATCCAGCACATCATCATGCTCTCCTACTATGCAGCGCAACTCGGGATAGCTCTGTCAGTCGTCGACTGTCGCACCATGGCGGCCATTAGTGCGGCCAATGAGCAGCCAGAACCCTGCCGCAATGGAAGCTCCTGCTCTGCAGCTGCTGCCACTCACATGCCAAGTACATCAAAGACGAGGCTAGAATAAAGCATGAACAGTGCAGTGAAATGGTTCTTGCCAAGGAAGCATTGTCTCCGAGAGCACCGTAAGTTCTTGGTCCCTTCCAGGATGAACGTGCACCAGGCTTAGCTTAGAGCCTGCTCCAATTATAGACATTTCTTCAGTGAACAAAACCGTTTCTGATTGGTGGTAATCATTGGAAAAATGCACTGTGCATGTGATAGCTGGCATCATCATATTGCATTCTTACATCTCGTGGACGCTGTGCATGTGAAATAGTGTTGACTCTGCAACCGTCAGCCGATTCTGTCTGCTGATGATGACCCATCTCCGTTGGTAATACTATGTCACGGAAATTCAGCAGTCCTCTTCGATCAAAATTTTGCCCACATGATTGTTAACTGGTGAAACCACCTTTGTGGAACAGGACAGAACAGCCGATTTTGGCTACGTTCCGACTAGAGCATCTAGTGGCGCAGCACTGTACGTTCTAATTATCCACAAGTACTCTTTTTTAGGTGTAGAGACTTATTCTTCACTGATCTGATGTGCTGCCATCATTTTGAAGAATTATTTAGGCCAGGTGTGCAAGGTTATAGATCTGCAACAAGGAATTGAATGCCTTTCCTGTTTCTTCCGGCATACAACACAGTCTGACAGCCTCTCGGAACACTACTCCAACCATCACACTCCCCGAGCACAGCAGTAATCTGATGGTGCTAGTCATGCTTCACACCTGGCCTGGAAAAGTTGTGTGGTCAGTATTATTGTCATGAGAGAAGGACGGAGATAGTTTTCTGTAGCTGGACCATAGAGTACACATATAAAGAACACGAACAATCGTTGTTCATGCTTCAACTAGATACATTCTTGCCACAGCTTGGTCTCCAAAAATTGTGCAATTCAACCCAAGATCAAACACCATGCATCTTGTAAGTCAGAGGCCATATTTTTCAACTAATTTGTCCTCTTTATTTATTTATTTATTTATTAGAATACCCTCAGGGCCCGTAGGGCATTACAGAGGGGGTGGGTAGAACATTTTATAACACACAAGAAAAAAAGACAAAGAAAAGAAACTAGTGTCAGATGCGCAAATCACGAAGGCAACATAAATCAACTAAACATGTATAAGTAAGAATTCAGGCACATACAAGACAAAGATAGATAATGGGAACTGCGTATAGTTACAAACATTGCTGAGAAATTGCAGTCTTGAATAACAAAGGGTCTGTTATTGTTACAATGGAAGAGGGAAGGTGGTTCCAATCGGCGGCTGTTTTCGGTAAGAAGGCTGCTGAAAAGAATTTGGTGCGGCAAAACGGAATGGCAACCTTATGCTGGTGATCAATGCGCGATGAGTGGTATGACGGTTGTGAAATGAGGTCTCGCTTCATTGATGGATTGTGAAAAAATATCTTATGAAAAAAATGCAGCCGCACCAGTTTCCTCCGGACAGTTAAATTGGGCAGGTCAAGGTTAGATTTCATTTCTGATATGCTAGCAGTACGGGAATAATTAGAACAAATGAACCGAGCTGAGCGGTTCTGAACAGATTCTAACGCGTTGATTAAATTTTGCTGCACGGGATCCCATATAGCAGACGCGTACTCAAGTTTGGGCGAATTAGTGATCGGTATAGTAGAATTTTGAGGGACAGCGGAGCGCGAGAAAAGTTGCGGCGTAAGTATCCTAGCATTCGGTTAGCGTTATTACAGATGTAGATAACATGCGTGTGCCAAGATAGATTGTTGGTAATGTAAACGCCGAGGTACTTATATGAAGAGACATGCTGGAGGGGAACTGCGTTATTTCTGTAGGTACAGGGGGGAGAAATAGATCGCCGGGTTATTGACATGCATTTAGATTTAGTTGAGGGTCATAAGCCATTTATTGCACCAGGTTGAGACAGTGTCAAGGTCTGACTGTAGAAATTGGTTATCTGATTCATTGTTTATTTTGCGGTAAATTACACAATCGTCTGCAAATAGCCTTATAGTGGAGTTAATGCTGTCGGGGAGATCATTAATATATATATAAGGAAAAGTAGAGGGCCTAATACGGAACCTTGGGGTACGCCGGATGTTACTTTAGAAAGAGGTGAGTTATAGTCATTAGTTGTTACAAACTGAGTGCGATTAGTCAGAAAGCATTCAATCATTTAAGAATGTTCGGGTCAATGTTTAAGGCACTAATTTTCAGGAGGAGTAATTAGGTGAGGTACTTTATCGAAAGCTTTTTGAAAGTCAAGAAAAATGCAATGCACAAGTGAGCCGCGATCTAAAGCCGATGCTATGTCATTAGTAAAATAAAGAAGTTGGGTTTCACATGAGTAACTTTTTCGGAATCCGTGCTGGTAGGGAGTAAAAAAAGAGTTTGATTCTAGGAATGAGACAAGGTTGGAGTAAATTATATGTTCTAACATTTTACAAGGAACACTGGTTAAGGAAATTGGTCTGTAATTGAGAGGAGACTGTGTGTTACCAGACTTGTGCAGAGGGACCACCTTCCCCACTTTCCAGTCAAGCGGCAAAGTGGAGGTCTGAATAGATTGCGAAAAGATTAGGGACAAGTAAATTGATGAATACAATGCAGTGTTTTTTAGAAACTTTGAGTTGATTTCATCTACGCCACAAGAAGAGGATAACTTAAGCTTGTGAATTAAATTTTGCACTCCAACGGCATCAACGGTAACAGGATACATGGGTAAAAAATCACGACTAGGCATTTGTGGCAACGCAGAAGCAGAGCAACTTGAAAAAGAAGTAACAAAAAAATCATTTAATGCAATGCAACACTCTTCACAGCGAACTGGCTGTTCGTCTGAGTTCGTAAGCATAATGTTTTGCTTTTCCCTAGGTTTAACAGTTTCCCAAAACTTAGAAGGGTTGGTTACAAGAATTGAGGGAAAGGTATTATTAAGAAAAACGCGCTTGGCTTCCTTGATAGCTGCTCTGTATTCGGAAAGGACAGATTTGTACACGTGCCAACGGGCGAACGAATGAGTCTGCTTTGCCTGACGGAACAACCGTTTCTTTTTATTCCGCAATTTTTTTATGTCAGTTGAGAACCAAGGGGGGCGTTGGCGACCCTTGATAACGTATGTGGGAATGTATCGCGTGATTAAAGATTCAACTTTCATTTTGAACAAGTTCCAGTTTTGTTGAACACTGCGATCAAAGAAGCCATTAGCAGAGCTCTCAAAATTCGATTCGAGTTCACTGTTGATTGAGTCATAATCGCCGCGTGAGTAGTCTCTGTTTTCCGATTGTTTGACCGACGCCTTAAAGAACCTGTTAGATTGAAGTGCACGAAACAATGCCTGGGATATATGCCTGGGATATATGAAATAGAATGGACAAGGTCTGGTACAGTGGTGAGAATCAGATCAAGAACATTTGATGAAGTGGGGCCCATTCTTGTTGGCTGCGTTACGAGTTGGGTAAGGTTAAAGTCTTCACACAGTTCCACGAAATGTAAACTGTCGGCTGAAAGTGAGCTCAATGAACAAGAAGGAAGTGACCAGTTTATTTTTGGGTAGTTAAAATCGCCTAGAAGAAAAACAGGTGTATGCGGGTGCCTTTTGACAATATCATTCAAAGCATCATGCGGTTGCTCGCAAAACACTGGCGTCGCACTCGGAGGGCGGTAACAGCCACAAATTATGACATTTTGATAGTTGACATGGAGGGAAACACAGACAAATTCTAAAGGTGATGCTATTACTACTTGGCTAGAAACTATATAATCAGCTACGGCTATAAGTACACCACCTCCTGGCGATTCTTCTCTATCACATCTGTAAATGGTATAATATTTTCACAATCGAACAGCTCTACACTTGCAATGTTAGGGGTAAGCCAGGTTTCCGTTAACACTACAACATCGGCGGCGCAGTCATCAAAAATTGAAGATAATGCATCCCGTTTGTTAAGAACACTTCGTACGTTAGAATATAAAACTGAGTAGTTACGATAAGTGGCCGAGGGGTGAACTTTGTTAGGATAAGAGCGTATCTTCGTCGGCATGCGTAGCGGAGGACGAAGCTTCTGATGAGTTCTGCGCATGTGTATGCGGCTCACAAACGCTGTCGGTCACCGGCGAGTACACGAAGCACTTTTTGTTGATGTAAAGCTTATTGTACTTGACGGTATACTTCTCGCCACTCGCCTTGCCGAATTCAAAAAGCTTCTTGTGCACGCTTCTTGTTGCGCGGCAAAAATCCTCGCTGATTGACACATGAGACTCGCGAAAACTACTTCTAGACTGCAGTATGCTTTCTCGGAACTTAAAAGAAGCAAATTTTACGATCACTGGTCGAGATTTGCCAACTACGAATCTGCCTAGCCTGTGCGCGCGGGATATGCGGTAGTCGCTACCTCCCAAGTTTAGCTTCATAGCTTCATTGAGGATTTGGCAAACTTTTTCTTCTGATTGCGTCCACGTTTCCGAATCGCAATCTTCTATTCCATAAAAAATCAAGTTTTCTCGGCGAGAGCGATCTTCAAATTCGTCAAGGCGCTTGTTAACCGAAAGTACCTCTGGTACCCGTTGACGATTCGGCTCGCTGTCTGAGACCCGGACACATTCCTCAACTGCGTACAATCGCAGTTGAGGAATGTGTTTATGATTTTTGTCACTTGCTGATGCAAAACTCCAACACTCATAAAGGCACCCGGTTGAATTATGTGTGAGAAAATAATACTACTACATGTGTAAGAAAGTCTTTACAAACTGAAGTCCATATTGACAATTTTCTAAGTAATTGTCTTCACCAAAGAAGAGCTGATAACCTCAAGGATAGAGTGCTGCAGAAATGTTTTAGAATACGTCTGGTAGGAGTGTAGTTCTTAATGCGCCCTTTGTATCAGTGAGTACATTGAAATCTACGCAAGCATGGGGCTCTGACAAGGAGATGCGTGCATGATTTCTTTTTTTCCTTTGAATGTGCAGCTCGCCATGCTTTACTCGGCAGACTTTAGGTATGTGGCATTCTTAACAGAGAAAAGAGAGAGCCGTTCTTGGCTGAATTTGAGGATGGCAAAATCCAGGCCACAGGCTGCGCTTTTATGTTTGGCTCGCGTGTTCATGCTGGAAAAGTGTTGCAGGGAGAGAGGGCGCTTTTGACGAAGGTTTCGTGGCGTCATGAGAAAGTATACTTGGGGGAAATCTTGGAATGCATGAATTGCGGCGCTGCAGTCAACTGCTGGCTCGCGCATGCGCAGACACTTGAAGGGCCATAGTGCTGAACCATGTCATCTGCTATAGTGGCGTGCGAGTAGTGTTAGCTGCACCACATGTTATGCGATCCGAGATTTACCCTAAGGGTGAAACAGACTGTACATGATCTGGTGCAACCAAGTGTTGCCAACAACGCTTTGCACATGAAAGGCAAAGATGCTATTCCCTCTCCTCCTGATGAGCATCGACTTCTGTCTTCATGTGGGAACCAGTTTTTTCTCGAGTCAGTACATTTGCGACTATAAAAAAAAAGAACTCTGAAAAGCAGCTTTGCCGGAGTACAAAAGTGTGATGGGGCGAAGCACATTGAAAATTTGAAGAGGCCACTGTCAATCGGACATTGACCGAGTCATTGGGAATTTCGAATTGTTAGGATAGTAAAATTTCAATGTGAATCGAATCCAGTAGCAATTGCTATTAAAAAAAAGTTCAAAATTTCCAATATTCACTCACAGCTAAATATTACACATGGCAGGACACGTAGGCGATTTGAATTAAGTAACGACAGGGTATAAAAATTGCTGTAATTGTCCTTCAAGTACTACAGATTATAGCTAACACAATGGAGGGTTTTTTATGAATAAGTGAGTAGCGGTGTTATTGTAATGTGTTAAAGGCTTATTTACTTTTTTAGACAGTATAAAACGTACCACAACACTTTATTCAATGTATTTTATGCACACACATTTGGTACACAGTGCCTTCAAAATTTACATTAATGTGCACATTTATTAAAGTGCGACTGTCTTTGGCAGTGGTTTGTGTACATGCTTAATGCTGTCAGCAAGTTTCAAAAATGCTTCTCTATTCTAGTTACCTAATTGACATTTGCAATGTTAATGAACGCCTCTGCCACAAACCTGTGAGAAGTCTGTTGGGACCTTTTAGCAGAATGAAAAAGGAGGCGAGTATCATCGGGTGGAATTATCATGCAGGCTGCGAACATGCACTTGCATTGGCTACAAGCCACTTTCAAGAAAAGCCGCGCTTTGCCATTCGAAGACATTCCTATTTGCACTGTATGTTTTGCCTATGTTGGAACATTCTGTTGCAGTGTGTTATGCACGGTTTCAGTAGTGATGTTAGCTTAAAACAGCACGCATTTATACCGAGATTTTTCAGGCCCAGTTTTCCTGTTCTACCAATGTCAAATGAATGCTCAAGTCAACCTCCTTACGGAGGCTTTTGTAAAAGTGCATTTGGTGCTAGTCACATGAAAATAAATTCTTCTGAAGCTTCACATGTGTGTGTGTGGTTCTTTCATTTACAGACTGACCAAGCTTTGTAGATACTGAACCCTTGTTTTCAACTTCTTGTTCACACTAATATAGTTCTTGCATTTTCGATCGGATTATTCCAAGTGCATGGCTTCCACACTTTGTCTTCTATGAAATGCAAACTGGAATATTGGCAACGAGTGCTTGTGCGTGGTAGCTTCCTTGTGCCATACTGCACTGTAAAGAAGACATATGTTTATCAAGGGTGTATTTATGATACACCTGCAAATATACCATGTGACCTGCCCGCTTGCACGTTGTGGTTCTAGTGCTTCCTAAAGTTCTGCATGCAAACTATATTGACGAGTGTCTACATGTGAACGAAAACCACGATGGGGTGATTCAATGCACATCATCTAGTGCGCCTCGAGTTATTCAAGGATGAAGAAGACGTTCTTGCTATTCAGCTGTTTTCAACACGCTGCTTTCGCTGTTTAATGGAGTACGTAGCCGTCGTTTCCTCACGTTGCACCATTACACTAGCGAAGGTACTAGACTGCAGCCCTGCCTGATGCTCGACACTCCCACTGGGAGTTGTTCATCCACCCCGAATGCATCGTCACCTATTACTCCTGTGCATTGCTTCAGTTGGTGGTTGCGAGGCCCCGTGCCAGAGTTCACTAACTCTCCGGAACCTTCTTCCAGGCGCTGCTTACCTCAACCAATGGCCACCACAAGCCTGAAACAGGCCCCACAGGGCAGCCCCTAGACACACCCATCTCTGGTTACCCTCTTTCAACTGCTAGTGCCCGATCGCTTTAGTGGTGGCACCCATGAAGACGTTGAGCACTATGAGCATGTTGCCAAGATCAATCAGTGATCTGATGAGAAAAAGCTCTCTCGTGCCTATTTCTACCTTGACGACAGCATTCGTACTTGGTATGAAAACAGAGAAACCTGTTTGTCAACTTGGGGCGACTTCTGACAGAAGTTCGTCAATACCTTCGCCAGTGTCGACCGAAGGGACCGGGCACAGCAGGTTTTGGAGCTATGGGTTCGAAAATTCAATGAAACCGTTTGCAATGTTCGCTGATGATATGACTCGTCTCTTTCGTCGAGGTAATCCGAACATGACAGAAGCTAGGAAGCTGAGCTACCTCATGCTTGGTGTAAAGGAGCAGCTTTTCAATGGGCTACTGTGCAACCTTTCAAGTACCGTGGTTGACTTTATCAAGGAAGAAACGACTATCGAGCAGGCCCTTCATCAACGATGCAGGCAGCATAATCGCATGTCTAGCAGCGCCCAATTCAATGCTGCCACCATGACGTTTACTGCCACCAGGCCTGATTAAAGAGATAGTTGTAAAGAACTACAGAAGTTTCGCACTTCGGTTGCTGAAACTCTCATGGTGTCCGTCGCTGAATTCATATGTAATGATATCCGCCACACATTTGTACCGCTGGTCCTGATGCCAAGTAGTGTCCCATGAGCTATGGCACGGCTCACTGATGTCCCCCATCCTCTATGCCGATGCCATACTGCCAGGCGCTATGGCCCCTTGGTCACTGCCGCAGAGCAGGCACTGAGCCGAACACCTAGCCTACCTGGATACCACCAACCATCCGCAGGAGCACCATGGACATCGTTGCAAGAGATACTCACATAGCCACCACTCCGAAAAACAGACGCATGGCACACAATAGATCGTCGTCCACTATGCTTCAACTACAGAGCGCTGGCCATATTGCCCGCCACTGCTGGCATCGCGGTGATTCGTTTCGCCTTCTTTGACCATGGCCTGACGGTCCATGTGCAAACAACGAATACATACCACACTGCAGCGACACCTATTTCCAAGGAGCCCGTTCTCACCTCAACGACTGCCGTACCACTGACAAGGAGGCAGTTAATAACTACTCACCAGCTGGGTTTGGGACGTCGATCCCGCTCTCCGTCTCCCGTGCATTCGCCCTCATCGCATCTTTGTGGACCTTAGTGCAAGAAGGTCACCAAGCCTGCGCCGGGAAAACTGAGGTTGGCGGGGGCAAGGCCAGGTAAATAACAAAAAGCCCCCACTCCTCTCACTACACGATGCTGTAATGTGGACAAGACATGAAAGTGATGAAATTGTGACCAGCAGACATTAATCTTCAGCTTGACAGCCACTAAGTGACAGCCTTAGTTCATAGCGGTGCTGACTTTTCTGTTATCAGTCATGACCTCGCCGACCACCTCAAAAAAGTGGACGTCGTGGACGTGCTCTCGTTCTTTTCACTGGAACAACCTATGTGCTGAAGCAGTACAGGTAGATACCATTATGCTACACACACAGAATATACCATTAGTTGCTGTGCGACCCAGCGATTGCCTGGACTGCTCCGATCGAAAATGCCGGCTTTCGTTTCATGAACAGGTTATGTCCATCAGTGAGTTGCCCACTGTGAAGGAGGCAGGCGCAGTCGATTTCAACATCGAGGGCGCTACTTTCGCAACTCTGTTATTGGAACCAGCAGAGTGTACCAGTCCACGAAGGAACACTCGTTGAAAAGCCCAGATTGCGGTCGACACTGATGTGCTATACCAGTACCGGTAAATACTGCCATGCTGCAGATGCAGAAGATAGGATTAGTTGCTGCGCGACTGCCTGGACATTTGAGGCCTTATACTGCAATTAGAAGAAAGATAGTTATCCAGCAAAAGTGCACTCCTTTCCCATAATGCAACTACAGCTGGTAGCTAACAAAAAAAGGGGAGGCGGGGAAAATACACACACAGTCCGTTTAGTTTTCAACACCTTGTATTTTATTTCCTTGAGCAACTGTTTTTCATGGTGCATAAAACTGCTGTGCTTTGCCAACGTCTTGATGACCGCAGTGTAATAAGACAATGAGGTTCATGAGAACAAAGCAACCTCCTGACTAGCATGAAGCATTCTGGCAACACATACATTCATCCGTGATGGCCCGTCTAAATACACTCAAAAGTCTCTTGGCCTAATGCCATGACAAACAGTAGCTTCTAAACACTGTATATTTTTATGGAAATGCAAAAACATACCACTACTATACAGCATATGGTCTAACAGACACTTGTATGTCTTCTTTTTTTTACGAAGTTTAACAGGACTGTTAAATGAAATGTTGCTCAAGGAGAAAGTAAACTTGGCAAACTGAATGCAAGTTCCATCTTTTTGCCAGCTTGCATTGACAGTGCAAGCAAGCAGTTGTCTCAGAAGTAATTACAGATGTACCTAGATCAACATGAAAGATGCGTTACAAAAGGTGCGTAATGCTTGATTAGATGTTTTAGGGTCTACACAAGGTAAGCATGCCTGTTCATCTTAAGTACTTGTGTGTGCAGCCACAAAAACATTTGCAACCCTAGGGACAGGAGTTGACACTCAAACAAATGGATAACGACGACATGCGTGTATATGTCAGGCTTGCACATAGTATCCATGGCAGTAAGAATCAAGACTGGCAAAATACACTCCTGCAATTACAAAACAGACTCATCATAGCAGAGATAAGAGAATATTAGAGTTTCGCCTTCCGACAGTGTCTGCTCTGCCAAATATTCCCAAAGGACAGTTACCTGTTTACCGAGGAACAATGAATACATTTTATTCTAAAAAAAACCATGTATTCAACGTAAACAGTCTGGATGAGCTTTCACTGTATGAAGAATTAGTTTCAAATCTGTGATGTCAAAAAAATATTTTTCTGCTGCAGATTGGAAGAGAACATGCTAAAGATATAAAACTGATTTTCGTCTTTTTTGTGAAAGCATCCAACAAAAAATGAAAATGGTCAGTAGAAGACCATTCTTACCGATTAAGCTAATAGAACCCAGCTGTTGAGGTACACAGCATGAATGGCACCCAATTAAGTTGGGCTAGCAGGTTCACAGGAAACTGCACTAAGAAGAAAATGCAACAGAAACATACCATTGGTAAGAACACATAATAATGCCGGGGAAAATATAGGGGATGTTCTTAGAAGTCCTAGTAGTGTAAATGTGAAGAAACAAAGTGGACGAAAAGATAACTTGCCATGGGCAGGGACCGAACCTGTGACTTTCGAATAATGCTCTACCAACTGAGCTACAGTGGCAGTGATCCCTCCGTCCACTTTACGGAGTGTACATGTGCGTTAAAATGTGGGAGTGTTCGTCTTCACCAGTAGCAGCCAATACGGCAATGGTCGGACACTCTTTTTCTGCCTGAAGGTGTGACGCCAAAGGAACCAAACTGTGTGTCACCATTTCCAACTTGAGCAAAAAGCTGTTGGTGCATGGTGCTTCCAAGGAGGATGAAGTTTCAAAAATTAGCGTGGCTGTATCCACTTAGGTGCATTAACTGAAATCACTATCACTGCAATCCTGAGCGTTTAGCAGACTGCCATGAAATGAAAGACCGGTCCACTTGCCAAAAAAAACAAAAAAAAACATGCTATAACGTTTTGCAACACAGTATTTAAGGTGAAACCAAACCAAGACAAACCACAAAGAGATGAGAACTGGTGCCTTACTGGTGCCTTGTAGCAAAGCATATAAATGCCACAAAACCTTGCATGCACATTCGTAACAAGATGATTTGCACACGTAATGACAGATTTCTAACGAAGATGTGCAGGGGTATGGAGGGCTACAAAGCTTACGGGCATCTCTAATAGAATGAGCTTTCTCTTTCTGGATGTGGTACCCTTCCAGACAAGCTGCATGTGTTCATTCTTCCTTCTGCTCAGAATCAGCGTCTCACATAAATCGTGGGCCACTGCTGGAGCAGCAGTCAAGATGAGTGACGAGGCGGGCTCCTTTGTCACTGTTGTTATTTACTTTTTGCTCACTTATGCAGCATACAGTTAGCCCGATGTAGGCCTTGCCACAAGACAGAGGTACAGGCACATATGATGTATCCTTTGCAGCACACAGGTGCTGCAAAGGATACATCAGACACTGTACTTGGTTTGGCAGTCATGATTCATTCGTGCACATTTCCGTTAGAAATCTCAGTTTTTTGCGTAGGCAATACGTCTTGCTGTGCGAGGGCATGCAAGGTCTGTGGTTGTGGCATTTAGAAGAATAAAGCATCTGCTGGTAGGCGCCAGTGCTCGTCTCTTCTATTCTTTGCGATCCGTCTTGGTTTGCGCTGAAGTTTTTACCGCAAATGCTGTGTACCAACTAGGCCCTACAGAAGTTTCATTCGTGCTAGAAGCCTCGTTTGAGTTTATCAGGTCTGTTCCACAAGTCTCACCTGAGGCAGTGAAATAATCTCAGAGTAATTTTTAAATGTTATTAATGTGCATACAAGCATTTTAAACAGCCTGCCTGCCCCTCCCTCTCCCCCCCCCTCGAATGCAGGTTTAAGCAAGACTTTTGTACAACTGTGGAAACAAAGAGAAGATGACTGCGCTCACTTACAGCCTCTTCCTCACAGTGTTGCTAATGAGAAGTACCGACCAGCCCAAATGAATTGTGCTGCAAAAACTTTTGGATCATTCTTTCCTCTAAGCATTAGTGCATAGAAAGAATACATTCCATTAAAAAATAAATGTGCCTCCATACTGCTGCATTCATGACCCCACATTCACGAACATGGGTTCTTACACAAGAAAGGCTCACAATGGGTGGCATGTGAACTTTATTTTTTTTAGGCCTTTGTTAGCAGTAATTATAAAAACTGAGGAGTGTGCAGACTCAAGAACATGTTTCTAATATTACAAGAAGATAGTCTAAAAAGGCTTCACTGATCATTTTGCAGTAACAAGTGTGTAATTACCTCAATTAAAGCCGAAGGGTTTTGGATGCAGCAACTTTAAGAATCTACTATAACATTATGCATTCACAACAACGAGGCAGAAGGCTGTGAATACTGCTTTCTGAAGATTTTAACCAAACCCATGAACAGACTGAGAAGCAGTTATGCAACAGTAAGATGATGATCAAACAGTACATCTTAAATCTCTTTATTTCAATAACAAATTATTTTTTTTGTACTGGGAAGGTTTTAAGAATCAAGCATGCTGTGAAAGGGAAATCGATTTCACCTACACGCAAACACAACACACACATATACACGTCAAACATCATTTGAAAAGTCTCAGAAATCGCCCCTCATTATTAGTGGCGATTGAGTCATATTTGTCAAGCACCCTGACAAACGACAGCCTGCAGAAAGTGCTAGAGACACACCAATTCTGTCACAAAGCAAGAAATTCATGCCGTGCCTCTCTGTTGTCACTGTTGTCACTCAGGAAAATTAGTCCACCCAATATAGCAGCAAGCTTTTGCAGATTAAATGCAAATAGCAGATGAAAGAAACAACGCTCACACTGAAAAAGCCTTCAGACAGTTCACAGTGGAGACATGGATGATAAGAAGAAGGAATCAAGGCAGCAAGTACTTCCCAGATTTTCATCACCAATGAGGTGAACCTAGTCACACTGGCATATTACTCCAAAATTACCAGTTGAAGAATTTGGTGTGGCGAGTAAAATTTAGGTAGCAAAGTGCCACATCACTAAAACAGTGTGCAAAAGAGAGTCACCAGCAGCGATGACTTGGTGCCAGAATTAAAATGAGCGATAGCACGAAACTAGAGGTTCTCTTTTAATGTTAGAATGCGAGCATTTTCTTGTGCAGAGCCTGAAAAACTTTTTGAACATTCCAGAAGACAGGGTGTACGAACACAAGACAGAAGTGAACGTTTGTGGTTCTCCCTGTGTTTGCCTTCTAGAACGAAGCAACCAGCTAAGCTCACTGTTATTCTAAGTTTTCGAACATAGCCAGAAGGAGCTGTGTGTCTGCAGAACATGTGAACATGTAAGCCATGTTTTGCATGCCTCAGCTTCATTTATGATGCAGTAACATCACGAACTAGCGCAGTCATTCAATGATTATTCTCTTTACAAAAAGTTTACGAGGAAGCTGCTCATTCTTTCTGCATTTGCTATGCTACTTGTAGAACTGTCACTGTCAAGACTGGGAAACATTTCACCAAACAAGCTCATTGCTGAGTAGCTGGAAAGGGTGCTGTGCTTTTTCCAATTCCAAACGACAGCCATGGCTAAGCGGTCTGGGCTGTTGTGTCTTAACTGACGTTCAACAGGTTGGATGGTGATAAACATGCGATTGATAGAACGAGCTGGTGATACAAAGTTCACATTCACTTACACTTGAGACAATGTGTGAATGCAAATGATTGCAAAAACTACACATGCATTCAACTCAGTGATGTGCCTGAAAGAGTGTTCACTGCTTCAATATGACTCCATAACAGTAAACTCTGGCAAATGAGTAACATTCGGGGCACACGTTTAACACTGCTACTTATTCCACTGTGGCATACCAACATCTACCGACATCACAGCCACTCAAGAACCAGATGCAAGAAGCAGTCGGTTTTTAGAGGCCTTCAAGGGAAACATGAGGACAAAACAATTCACTTTAAAGCACACAAGCTAGCACACTCGTAAGGCCTTTGCACAAAGAGAATATCCACTTCCTAAGTCTCTACATCAACAGAATGGAGGTGCAATGCATGCGATGAAGAAATATGTAAGCACGAAATACTTGCAAGTGACAGTACAGAAAAACTTTGAAAGTGCATCACTGAAAAACAATGCTGTCACATGAAACAAGCTCGAATGAGGTTCACTCGAACCAAAAAGCAAGATGAGAACAATATGAGTCCAGATGGTTCAACGATGGGACAACAGACGTTTGTCTTGTCCCCTACAACAACATACTATTGCAATTATACATAGAAAAACCTAGAAAGCATAGACAGACATACATTTCCACTCCATCATAAAGGACTGACCATAAATTCAAAACCAAAACATGACTCAGTGCAAGTATTAATACTGACATTGTTTTTTTAATGCCATACCCAAATGCTTGGTCGCTGTTCCAGCCATTGTGCCTACCCAAGAAAGGTTGAATTATTCAATTTTCATACCCTGCAATGCCTCACAGTTTGTCCACATTATAAAAACCAACCCTGCTACTTGCTATTGTGCACCAAGTTATAGAAAAAAATAAACAGAAATGTATAATTTCGAACTCGGTTATTACATGTAAATATGACAGCCTTACACATAAAGCGTCTCAATAAATAAGCGAAACTTCCCACAGAACTACACGACATTCATAAGTAAAGCGCAAAAGACACTTATCTGCACAGACACTGTGTGAAAGCAAGGTCAGATCCCGAGTTCAGTTGATGTGATGGCAAAGAATGACAGCTGGTTGCAATGAACAACAGGCTGATGCAAGGACATTTTGCAAAATGTGAACCAAGTGGTTGTGCTAACAGCAGCAACAGGCAAACAAATGTGCTGCTTCAATGCAAGACCGAATGAACTAACGAAACCATAAATTTCCTGCTGCTTGTGATCTTCAGATGCAAGGTTAGCTATCACAGGCATCCTACTACATCAGTGCCCAATCCCTATCTGTAAATGTAAATTTTGTTTTCAGGACCTGAAGTAGATCAAGACTGGAGTCGGACGGCAAAACTTTACCTTAATGAACAGCCACCTTGCTTAAGGGAACAGTGATTGTGCTTGCAACTGAAATTACATTTCTAATCGCACCTTGTCTACAGTCAAAACGCGCATTTCTATTACAGCAACATTAGAAAAATTTCAACAGACTGCAGCTTAATTTTTTTGCTGTCATTCTGTGAGACTGCACCACTGCCTCTGTATTGCTTAATGATACACTAGGCCACATTGTTCTTGATTTCTTCAAAAATACAAACAATGCAACTCTCTACACAGCTGGTCATTTCTGTAATTTTCTTCTCTGTTTTTCCAAATAAACGGAGAAGAATTATTGTGTGATTCATACCAAGATGTGTTCACACAATCTGAACCACAAAACACCATTAAAAGCAACAGTTTCATTTAGGGGAAGATGTGATTGGGAAAAAAGGTTGCGTTAGTCTGTAGGCTAAGGCCATGAACTTATTGCTGTATATATAGGCATTTAGACTGATTTGAAATGTAATAAGATTTATAGTAAGTTGCACAGTTTTTAATTTGTGCCCTGAGAATGTGTAAAGTATAGTTTGTTTCGGGCAAACTTTTTATGCGACAAAATTTTTATGGTTGTTCTGAACCATTAAATGCTCATATTTTGCCTCAATATTGTAGAATGCAAATAACCATTAGGAAGGTGTGTATAAAATGCTTTGATATTGAAGAAAAGTTGTAATGTAAGAATTCTTAGAATCCTCAGCCTAAATTAATTGCTTATTTTAGGTACACAATAATTATACAAATGGTATAATGTTTTAAAAGAAATACTTGCAACCTTCCCATTTTAAGGTATATTTGGGAAAAATTTCATACCAGTCAGGCCATCAGAAGTACCAAAAACACCATGTCGAAATTGAAGAAGTTGCCTAAAAACAAATCTTGAGAAAACCGTATTGGAAAGGTATAAGTGAAAGCTCATCTATGCGAACAAGATATGTTTTTTAAGATGAGCTCTTCCATGATGAGAGCTTGCCAATCATTCATACTTTGAGCATGGGGCTTCTGTGAATCCCTCATGCGAAATGCAATGACAACCAGCCAAGTGACCATATCTAAGAGACTCGATTATGAGCTCTTTTCTAGTTTTTAGCAGCCACCTTGTGCTCTTTAGAAGCGATCTTGACATACATGAGTTTAATACAATCTTCAGCTTTTTGTAGTGAAAGTAGAGAAATTAAGCTTGCAAAAGCAAATAAAAATACAAAATATATAATTTTGTGAAAAGAACTACCGTAAAAACCCGCGTATAGCCCGGGGTTTTTTTCTAGATTTTAGGGTGCGAAATTTCGGCCCCGTACTATATGCGGGTCCCAAGAATTTTCGGCCCAAATTCAGTTTCGGTTTCGGCATAGCGCGGTGCTATCATCATCATCAGCTGTCTGCGCGCTTCTGCGCTAGGTAGTGTTAGCGGCGTTAGTCTCAGTGGTGGTAACTTAGCGAGAAAGTCGCTAAATTTAGCGCCTTTTCAGTCGTGCTAGCGACAATTTTATCACTTTGGAGTCTTAGCGACTTTTTTGGAGACTTTGAAAAGTTGAAATTGAATGTTTAAAGGACTACTGACAGGAAAAGTTTTGTTTTCGACATTTTTTTACAGTAATCCGTAGCTTTGCGTCTAGTAATGCCAAAATTCAATCGTAAATGTTCTAACGCATCGTATAATTGATGCTAGCATCGTTAATTGAGGACGATTTTGTTTCAGTTCAAAACGCCCGCCTAGATACCATAAGAAACTAGCGCCGCACAGCGGGGCAGTGCCTGAGACTACATGCGCTCAAGCTTCGGTGACGCTGAACGTGCGGTTTCCAAATAGGGTGACCCGAGAGTGGGGAAGAATAGAACGATGTGGGTGCGTTGAGCGTGTTCCCCTCAGGAAAAAGAAGAGCATTCCTGGCGTAAGCAGCGAAAACCACCTTAGAGCAGCCCGACAACAGAGCGAGAGGGGTGACGAACAATAGTCCTCGCCGGGAGCCAGTCGGCGAATTGTACTCACCCCGAAAACGTTCTCGGAATCTCCGATGCCCACAATACTTGCTTGACCTCTGCAACCACGCAAGGGGAGCCTTTGTCTACGTAAAACCACAAAAAATGTCGATTTTACCGGAATACTCGGATGAGCACACACCTTCGCTTTAAAACCAAGTTGAAATATTTTACAGGCAGCACTCACCCCTAATAATCGTTAAGAAGTGCATGCAAGAGTCTCAAACGTCGCAAGCACACCAAGCTTCCAAATTTTGTGTCAGGGGTCCTTTAAAACAGACATAGAATATTAGGAAACTAATGAGAACTGGGGAATGCTCGGAACGAGCTTCAAAAATGAGGCCAGGGCACACAGGATCGAGCTTCTTGAGCCGCTGCGATCTTTAGCGTGCGTGCAATGTGGCCACCTGGCTGTTTTGGGCTGGTTGGTACATGATCGACGAAGCGAAAAAAAAAAACTGCGCGGAACACCGGACAGTGAAAGAGACGGACCAAGCGCTTTTTTTCGCTTCGTTGAAAATACAAGGATGGAGAGGAAGCTACAGGAAAGCTGGCCTTTGCCCCTTCCTCCTGGAATTTCGAATACCTTGTCTATGCAGGCAGCTCGAAAGAAACGATGCCTGCGCTCGTCACTGCTGGAGCCTGGATGTCTCCCCCCCCCCCCCCTCGCTAATGCACACCCATGCTATGGTGGCTAGCCACCATACCCATGCTAAAAGTTCTGAATGCGCACTTGTGCGCCACGTGCTTCCGCGAGCATCGGCAAGCCTATCTCTCACACCATCCCTCTCGCTCCTCGGGTTCTGAAATCCGGGCATGTTCATGGCCGATTCTGCGGGGGTCTACCCAGCGTACCCCTTCAGAGAACACGAACTCAAACGAAGTGGTTCAACCGGTTCAACCTACAACACGTGGTAGCGTTGCTTCACCATGGCTCACTGAGCCGCAGATCACTCGTTCTGTAGAAAAAACAGCCGCTCAAAAGATTTCGTTCACTCCTGAGCGACACATCTCTATTTCCAGTACACTCAAGGACTAGGTGTAGCGTGCCGACTCGCTCGCTCTAGCTTAATCATGCCTCCAAAGTATGAGCAGCATTATCGAAAAAGTTGGGAATCACTGCCCGAGTTTAAAGGCTGGCTACGTCCTGTGGAGAGCGAAAGAACAAAAGCATCATGCGCCTACTGCATGAGCGAATTCTACGCGAAGCTGTGCGATATCAAGAAGCATGCCGCCACCACCAAGCACAAGAAGTCATCTGAACCATACTCCAGTTCTTCTCGGCAGAAGAAACTGCAGTATTCAGCCGCAACTGAGTCTTCCTGCGGCAGAAGTGAAGCAGCTCTTTGTCTGTTTATATGCGAGCACACTGCATTCCTCACCGCTGACCACCTGACAGAACTCTGCAAGAAACAGTTCATGGACAGCAAAAGTGCAGCAGGCATGCGCATGCACCGGCGCAAATGCACGAAGATCATAGTGAATGTGTTATCTCCGCATTTCGTGGATCTCTTGGTGGCTGACATCGGTGACTCAAAATACAGCCTGATAATCGACGAGGGTACAGATATTTCGATCACTAAGTTACTGGGTGTGGTGGTGCGATACTTCAGTGCTGCTCGGAAGAGCATTGTGACGACGTTTCTTGCGCTTATCGAATTGGACGATGGCACAGCTGTGACAATCGTCAGGGCATTGGAAAACCTCCTCACGCGTATGGGACTTGACAAGAAGCGTCTCCTCGGCATTGGAGTTGACAACGCCTCGGTGAATACGGGTGTCAACAACGGTATTTTCGAGACAATTAAGCGTGAGTGGCAACTCCCGAACTTGATAATGGTAAGGTGTATTTGCCATTCTTTGCAACTCGCACTTTCCCACGCTGTTCAGGGAACGCTTCCCAGGAATGTGGACTTCTTGGTGCGCGAAACCCACATGTGGTTTTCCCATTCTTCAAAGCGTAAAGCCGCGTACAGTCAACTTTACCGTAGCCTCTGCGATGGGGAAGAACCACTATCAATTCCAAGGGTGTGCGATACCAGATGGATATCGTTGGAGCCAGCGGTCGTCAGAGTCCTCGATCAATGGGACATGTTGCTGAAACATTTCGAACAAGCCAGATCAACGGAAGGATGCTACACCGCAGAGCTCCTGTATCAGATGTACTCTGATCCGCTGAATAAGCTTTATCTACTCTACCTTCGACCAATGCTACGAGAAGTTCAGCGTACAAACAAGGCCTACGAGAGGAACGACGCGGATCCCGCAAAGCTTCTTGAAGACCTCACGCTCCTAATTAAGATGGTTTGCAGCAAAGTGCTCATTCCAACGGCGAAGATAGATCCGCTGCGCCAGCCTATCGATGGTCACCTGGACCCCAAGCCATACCTGGGATACGAGTTCGAGAAACTGGCGAGCACGCTACCAGCTGGTCCTGAAGTTGACTTTGTGCGCCAGCGATGCGTTAATTTCACAGTAAAGCTGTCAAATGAGCTCCGGCAACGTCTGCCATCGAACTTCAAGATATTGCAGGGCATGGCACGGCTGTCTGTGGGAGCATGCTTGCGAGTACTCAAGGAGCCTATCACGGAGCTGGCGGAACATTTCGGTGTTCAACCAAACGAGATAGATCTCGTGAACGCGCAGTGGAAGAAGCTGACCCTGGTGGGCTGGGCCAACACCACCGACACCATTGCATTTTGGTCCGAGGCCACTGCGTACCGTGATGCAGCTGGCTCGAACCCGTTTCACGAGGTCGCGCAGCTCGCAGTTGATGTGCTCTCCTTGCCGCACTCAAACGCAGAAGTGGAAAGAGTTTTTAGCCAACTAAGCGTGGTTAAGACAAAACTCAGAAATTCTCTCAGCACTGCCAGCACAAATGCGGTCTTAAGTGTTCGTAGCGGACTTCGCCGTCTTGGAAAGTGCTGCCACACCTATGACCTGCCTGACACAGTGACAAGAAAAGTTGGAACCATGCAAGCGTACTCCTCAGCGTTCGCGCCAAGAAGTAGTGCACGTGCGCAAAGCAGTGGAGAGTCTGCAGACGAGGAGGTGTGGACTGGTGAGGTGGAACTATTGCTTGACATATAGACTTTAGTGACTTGAGTGAAATGTGAAGAACGATCGAAATGAAAGAGCGCCGGCCAAAATGAAAATATTTAAAACATTTCAGATGTTTTAAATCTTGTCATCTTGGCCGGCACTGTTTCAATTTGCTTGTTCTTCATGCTTCTTCCCTACGAGACGATACTTGGTCAAACGATCTTCTTGAGTGCAATGTGTCCAATAAAATAATTTTAGGTTTCACTCGTTCCTAGCATTGTAGTAACATATTACATCAAACGTTAGATAGCAGCTGTGCACGCAGTAGGTTATTGTTGAAAGCTAATTGACGAAGTATGGGCTCTTTGGTGGAATTGCAGTACCTTCATGAGGCAGAAAAAGCGTGCGTGGCGTGCATGCACAAAATTTATGCACACCACGCGTTCCCCTGCTTCGCGGAGAGAGAGAGAGAGAAAACTTAATTTCCGGCAGAGTGCTGCGCTGGGTTCCGACCCATGGGTATGGTGGCTAGATCATGGGGGAAGGAAATAACAGGAGGGAGCATGACGTCACGCACCCAGCCTTGGCAAGCCAACCCGTTTTGAAGCCAACAAAGTCGGCCCTTTTGCCGTGAGATCACGCAATAAACGAGACTTGCCGATACCTCGAAATACGGCGCCCGGTAGCTTTTAATCGAAATGAACTGGTTCGGCGCAGACTGGCCGGCTCACGGAGGTGTTTCAAAGACGGAACAGCGCCGAGAGAACTAAAACCTACCGCGAGCGCTGACGTTTTGGTCACTTGTTGGGCCGACTTGGTGGGCTTCAATCGAGTTGCGCAACGCTCCCTCCTGTCTTTCCTTCCTCCATGTTCCGATCTGTGGTTCAGACCTAGAAGTTTATTCCGCGCAATCCACGTCTCCCGGCAGACCCAGAGTTGCTTGTCCAGACCAAAACTGAACAGCGCAGTCCGACACTAGAAATGATTATTTTATTTTGACTGTTCACTTTATTCACCACAGCAGAAATTTATTTAAATCATTGTTTAAAAATAATCCCTTAACGTGCTTTATCCAGTCGAAAACTAAAAACTCAGGAAAAACGTCATCATCATCATCACTTAGCGACTTTTGGCTGAAATTGACGACTTTTAGGAAGCGTTCTGGCGACTTAGGCCCCCCAAAAGTTACCACCACTGGTTAGTCTTAACTGGTCAGTTGGTCAGTGGCCTTTGCTTCAACTTGGTGCCCATAATGACGGCCTCGATTTTGCTCCTGTGATTTTACGCCATGTCAGGACCGCGCAGGCAGTACTCTGCTGCTTTTAAAAGAAAAGTTATCGCTGCTGCCGAAACCATCGGCAACTGTGCCGCGGAGCGGCAGTTCGGAGTCAACGAGCGGAGCATTCGCGGTTGGCGGAAGCAGAAGGAAGCCCTCTTTGCATGCAGCGGCCAGCGAAAAAGTTTCCGCGGACCAAAAAATGGAGCATTTCCTGACGTGGAACGAGAACTCACAGACTTTGTGCGGGAGCAGCGAGCTGCACATCTCGCTGTCAACATCGAGCTGCTACAAGCGAAGGCAAGGGAGATCGCTCGAGACAAAGGCATTCAGCCGGAGGATTTCAAAGCGAGCAAGCATTGGGTGTCTCGCTTCATGCGCCGCGCTGGGTTCTCCCTACGTCGGCGTACGTCGATCTCCCAGAAGCTACCAGAGAGCTACGAAGAGCACCTCGTGGCTTTTCAAAGGTACATAATTGTGTTGCGAAAGGCAGTCCCCTTTCAGCTGGGCCAGATCGGCAACGCGGATCAGACGCCGGTCTACCTGGATATGCCCTCGGCGCTGACGGTGCATCAAAAAGGCTCCAGGCAAGTTATCGTGCGGTCGACTGGAAACGAAAAAACGCGGGTGACTGTAATGTTATCCTGCACGGCTGACGGTCGCAAGCTGCCACCCTACGTGGTGTTCAAACGAAAGACGCTGCCGAAGGGGGAGAAGTTCCCGAAAAATGTCGTCGTCCGCTGCCAGGACAAGGGGTGGATGGACGAATCGTTAGTCCTTGACTGGATAAAGTCCGTGTGGTGTCGACGGCCCGGAGCACTGCTGGGGCTCCCTTCGATGCTTGTGCTCGACGCGTTTCGGTGTCACCTGGCCGACTCCGTAAAGCGACTGCTGCGCGACTCCCGCACCGAGCTCGTCGTCATCCCGGGAGGGATGACATCACAGCTGCAGCCGCTTGATGTGTGCCTTAATAAGCCATTTAAGGACCATGTCAAGCGCCTGTACGTGGAGTGGATGAGGTCCGGAGAACCAGAAGTGACCCCTGCCGGACGGCTGAAACGGGCCTCGCCAGCGATGCTCTGCTCGTGGATAGTCGAGGCTTGGGCCTGCATTCCAGAGGCGCTCGTTTGCCGCGCCTTCAAAAAGTGCTCCATCTCCAACGCGCTTGATGGCACTGAGGATGATGTGCTGTGGGAGAACATTTCCGACAAGGGAGCTTCGGAAGAGAGTGCGTCCGACGACGAGGATGAATGAAATGTCAATAAATGCATTTTTTCCATTTTCCTCGGACTATATTCGGGTGAAAACTTTTTTTCTCACGTTTGCTATCCCCGAATTACACCCCGGACTATATGCGGGTCCGAGCTATATGCGGGTTTTTACGGTACTGTTTTTCGACTTGAATCTGCCCTTAATGTTGGAAAGAAACCAGGGGTCACTATTACCAGTTCAGTCAATTATTCCTTAGTTGCTTTTACATACAATTAAAACAAAGTTGAATTTGCAACAGGTGCACAGGTCCCTGCAATCTATTTTGAAACCCTCTTAATATGCAATGCTTGTTACATGCTGCATTTCAGAGATGTCTCAGTATGCGTCAAGATACCAGTGTCAGTCGATCACTTCGAACAGCGCTTTCTCTTTCATGTGAGGGCATCGGCCAGTGTTCGGCTCGCCCTGCTAGCAGTAATGTCACCCCAGAATTTCTATCAGCCGCTGAACAAAGGCAGGAATGCAATGTACTCCCTCAGTGAAAGAAATATCAGGTGGACAGAACAAATAAAACGGCATCATAATGCAGGCAAAAAAAGAAGAAAACTTAAGTAATAAGTGTGACAGGCCATTCAATATCGGAAGGTCACCATTGACAAAAAAAGCTCAAGGTTGCATGCTGTTGAATAGCCAATGTCGAATAGCCAATGTTGAATAGCAGGCAGACGTTGAATACCTGAATGTCGCAAAAGCGAAGCTTCTGCTATCACACAAGTACACTAAACAAAACTAGAGCTAAAAAGAAAGAATTCTAATTTACAGCGTGGACAAAAAAAGCTTATGGCTGCTCTGAGTATCTCAGAGCAATCTTGAATTTTAAGCTTGTAAACAAATAGCATAACTCTTTAACGCATTTCAACATCACCACTCCAATTACTAAAAAAAAAAGAAAGGCGTTCAACACGAAATGGCAATATCTGGTGACAGTAATTTATTGTATAGGTAGACATCAAGATTTGCGGATGGCGATTATTGATCAAATAATTTTCATTCACAAACTTCTTAATGAGCGGCTGAAGTTGATCAGTGCAGTGGTCAATCAAATACGGCTGTTCTACTTCTCACGTTTGCGTAATAGAATATACACCTTCTACAAAGAGGCACAGCTTCCAGCCTGCGTATGCACAATCTCTGCAACTAAAATTTACTCTGGAGCGGTTAATAAATAAAAATAAAATTTTTTAAAACCAAGACAGGTGCGGCTGTAGCACTATTCTGTACAAAACACCTCGAGTTCTTACGAACTGCACTGACTTCTTAACAATGCGTCATTGTTGAGTATGTTATGCACTTCATTGAAAAGTACTTGAAAGAGCCCAATAAATGCTACTGTGAAATGCTTCATGCAAATGTGGTAAAACTAAGCTGTCCAGTTCCAGCAAAAGTGATCCCCTCAAGTATGACTGCTCTTCTTGCTAACTATACTGCAAAAATTATCTTACAAGGTACCACCAGTCACCATTTGGCTACAGAAGGAAAATCTGCACTCAACAGTAAACCATGTGCCCAAAACATACTTTGCCAAACTTCCATTCTCTTTTACCTGTCATGAAGGACCCTCGCAAAAAATACTACTAGGAAATGAACAGATATGAACCCTGCCATGAGCTATTTGTAGCATTTCCATATATGTGCAAGTGCACATCTATTAACAAAAAAGACACGTGTATGCTAAAACAGACTTCTTTCAACAGTTTTACAGTAGGTGAAAACTAAATGACATTACTTTGCAACGCATAAACAAAAGTGGTCCAGCCTGTATGAGAAATGGGACCTCAAAAAACAAAAATGAAATTGCAACACTATACAGTTTCACCATTAGCTGAACCACTGCCGGAAAAAAAAAAAACAAGCAAAAGCGGGACAGCTCCTCGCCATTTTTTCGTAATGCACCATCTAAAATTACTTGTACAGCCAAATCGAAGTAACCAAGGGTCTTCAAACAGTTTTTGAGAGAGGCTGCACAATTCAGACAGTGAACAGCGGTGGAATCGATAACACACAACTTCAGAGAACCGGATGATGCACTCACAAGGGCTAACTGACCACAAGCAAGAGTGTCCGATAACACTGTGTTGCCCTCAACAACTGCCTCTGTTCTGATGTCTGCGTTCTAGCCACATGTGCGATTCGCTGTGTTTACAGAGCGTAACTTTGTCGTAATGAAGTAGCATCTTACAAGGAAATACTTCCACTTCATTGGATTATGAGTGCACACACAAGCATCAACAAAAGATATATAATCGTGGAAGTGAAAAATTACTTCTCCATGTATAATGATTCGATATTCGTGTGTGTGTTGCAGTGTTGTTGAACAGGGATTGCAGCTTATCTAAAATGAAATGAGTGCAAGTGGATGCACCTCCTTCTTTAAGAACAAGAGTGCACACATACTCACAACACAAACAGCCGGACAAGAGGTCATTAAGAGCTGATGATTTAGGAAGCACGCTTGCTTGTCTTGGCAGCACTCCTAAAAAATTAGGTGGGATCACCTAAAATGGGCAACACACATAATGTCACTTGTACTATCACGCTTATGGCACCAGCACAACCAGACAAGTTCTTTGCACCAACAGGTTCACACATTCAATAAAAAGGAAGCACACACACGCCTACTCATCCACCCATAGCGAATAAAGAAATAATAATAATGGAATAATGATGGCTGAAATGGCAAAAGGCGCATTCGACAGCAGCTGGGTGCACGACACGCCCCGAGGGAGGAAAAGGTCCCACCGGTGAGAGCTTTTCGACGACGGTGCTGCAGTGGTGCACTGGCGGCCACACTGGTGCCTCCTGGCAGCCTCCCAGGTCCTTTACCCTGCTGAGCGCACCACCAACCAGAATCTCAACGGGCAATTTTGTGGGGCAGTTCGCGCTCAAACAGGCACAGTGTTCGATGGACAAACTCGTACTGCTCGGCCGTCTGCACCATGCCTCCCCTGTTAATCAAATAAAACACCGATCAGTATGGCTCTTTCTTGTTGAAGGTACAACTTCAACCAAGCATGTATAGAACAATGAAGTGAAGCTTGACACTGGTAGCAGCTGCACCAGCGATGCTACTCGCCTAAGTTATTCCAGAGAATGTTTGGGAGCAGGCAAATATTTATTCTAGAGAAGAAAAATTGCTTTCAAAATGCAGAATTTTTATTTTTTGGAGAAGCAGAGAAGCCACAATTTTATGTCGCAATTTCACTGCAAGGCTAAAGCAATGCATGCAATAACAACAAACTGAAATGTTATACAAAGTAATGCTAGCAGTTAACTCCTTTAACAAGTGCTGTCAGTGCAGCAAGCAAACAGGTTTTCACGCTGGTCATGGCATCATTACAAACTTTGTGATAAGAGCACAACATGTATAAAGATATAAGCCATTTCCTCATACCTTTGGTACGATCTTGTGAACCAGATATACCTTAGACCAACGAAATTAGAGTTATATAAAAACCACAATATAAAATGATGTGCTTATCAAGATGCAGAGCTCCTGCCACAAACCTGCTATATTGAAGTCAATAAAATAGAGCAGTTGAAATCAGCAAAAGTGGCCGACAGACAAATGCTGCAAAAGGCAACAAGGCTTTAATTGTAACAAAAACACAAGAACTGCATGGAAGATTCTATCTTGTGTAAAACAAGGAGATCAGCTCTTCCATTACCTTCATGATCAGAAAGAAGAATATGCATGCTCAAGAGTGGAAGCTTGCGATAGTTGGTGCATAGTCATATTTGCAAGTTTTTTCAGCACGTGAACATAATAAAAAAAGGGGACAGGGTAGACAGAAAGAGCGATATTGGCAAGGCATAGGAATCAGCTTACCCGAGAAATTATTGAAGCTGAAAAAATACACTCGCTAGGTGATAAATGCGTAAGCACCTCATCGGTTGCTTTATCACAGGCAGAACATGATTACCTGGCTGGGCTTTGAGGCAATAGAGGACCCGTCACACGTGCTTTGACACTAGCGCATTGATTAGGCTTGTATTTTATCTTCATGTTCTGTAATCACCCTTTTTTAGGCATATATATTCTTGCCACTCTGTGAAATAAATTTAATTGGAAGTCAGCACTCTTTCTGTCTACCTTGTCCCTTTTTTTCTATGTTTGCGAGCTGAAAAAACTTGCAAATATGCATGTGCAGCTGCTTTGGGTGCAGGAAGAGAGAAAAAAAATGGGACGCCACTCAATGGGACGCCTCTGTGTGTGCTGCAGCGAGAGCTTTCTTGCAGTACTTCCATGTGGGAGGGGCAGACAAACACAAAAGAAGAAATCTGCATATAGGTGTCTTGAAGGTAATACCAGTAACTCCGAAGGAAGCTGAAGAAATCGAGAGAGGGACAGGAAGGACGCTTTATTCTAATGAAAACGCGAACAGGCAACCAATATGAGCAAGCGTACACACAGCTATCACACAGAAGGGCCCCCTATGATAGAATTACTGTCAAGATAGTACTGGAGCTCTTTCTCATTCAGGAACACAGATGGCGCACTCACACACTTATCAGGACCAAGTTTGTAGATCGGAAAGGCTTCAATAGATTCGCACTGCTTCTGCATATCAGCCTTTCCAGTGACTGAAACATTGCTGAAAAGAGGGTTGCATTTGTTCTCTCGGTTTTTTGAGCTTCATTTGATTCTGCTGGCATTCCCACCAAGAATATGTACCAACCAGCCACACTAATGAATCTTATTTACTGTTTTCCAGGGCCACAGCAACAACACAGACAGCTCTAAATGAATGCCAGTAAAGTTCTTAAACATCAGCTATCAACCTACAATCATAACAGACCTTACAGTTTACTGTGTTTTCAACACATACATATTGACAAGGTTTTGGAGCATCTCATCAGTCTGTTCCGATTTGCACTGACCTGTCCCTGCGAAGAGCACACACAATGGCCAACACATCGACACTGTTCTCCTCTCGCAGCTGCCGGATGCCAATGCTGCTGGCCACAAAGCAGCCAGTGCGCCCAATGCCCGCACTGCAACAATCAAAAAAAAGGTGATGACCAGGCAATGCAAACACAACTCTCATTGCATGATGACAATGCACAGTGATGGAAGTGTCTTTTTAATTTTAGGAGCATACTTTGGAGCAGCCATAAGTGTTCTCAGAGCACAAAGAAGTCCCTAGTTTAGAGCAGCTTTTGGTGTTTAGGAGTAGATGTTAAATTTGCCGTACGTTAATACTAGCATTTTGTGTGTCAAGCATTTTGTGAATATCAATATTTATTATGAAATCTATTTATCAGAGAACAGTCAGTATAAGTTTCATGAAGAAAACAATGGCCGGTTGTCAAAACAATGCTGTGAAATGAGCTACAATTTAAAATACCAGTATTTGTGGCAGAAATCCAATCAAACCAGAAAAGCTGAGTGCCAAATTTAAGAAGTAACCGCAGTTCCATACAACTGTTGCCAAATTAGCAGTAGATAATTGTTATAAGACAAAAGCAATGCTGCTCATTTTTACTTTTCACCACACTAGCCTGCATGTCTAGCTGAGAAAAAAAGAAAGAGCGAAATGAGCTATATATAGCTTGTGGCACAAATGAGATCAGAGCCGAAAGTGCTGCACACTAGTAGCACACTGGGATGATAGTACACAGATTCTTTTCAGTTTCTTAGGACTTACGAGTCGGTCAAACAGTAAAAGTTTTTCATTGTCATTCTCTCAGTGTCATTTCAGAGCAGCTTTGGAGCAATTACTAACAAAAAGCACTGTTTGAAGCAGCATGGAGCAGCAGTCCTCTTTTGGAGCAGTTTGGAGCAATTGGAGCATCACTTCCATCACTGCAATGCAGGACCCGGGAGATTGACAATCAGAAGTGCCCCCGAAACATAAGAGAATACAAAGGGAGGGAAAAGAAAAAAAACTATTCTTCTGCTGCTTAACTGATTCTTTAGCACAGCACTGCCTGATGTGAACTTTTTATGCAAGAGCCCACCGCTCTTGTAAGAGTTATTGTGCCACATGCAACAAAAGTGCCAAGGCTACGCAACAGCTTAGCATGTCACAATTTGTTCACATAAGATTTAGAGAGACCCGAGACAAAAGCAGTAAAAAAAACAAGAAAAAACATTGCAGGATTTGCAGCCAACAGCTGGACTAGGTACGACTGGGCGCTGCCTACGTTCCGTATTTACTCGCGCAATGAACCCACCCCCCACCTTGCTTTAAAAAAAAAAAAGTCTGTTTTTAATGTATCTGTGCAATTAACTTCAGTCTGATTGCAAGTGCCGTTGATGATTGAAACTATGTTAAATCACGCCAATAAATTGCAAAATAACAAAGTAATAAAAGTCAAAACATAGTTTAACATGCAAGCTAAACAGTTGTGAGCAGCCCATGCAAGGACGATGACGATCAAAATTTAAAAGTGACGCCTCTTGCGGCAGAGCGCCATCTGTTGAGCGCAGACGAAACCTTTTTGCTTATGACGCCACACAAGCACAGCGGTGTGAAAACAAAGCAAAAAACAAAGTACAACCGCCCCCGTCTGACGCTGCGTTTTTCTTGATGATCGGCCAGTATGCTAGCGACCCGGCCAGCCTTAAACTTAAAATTGCTCGAGCATACGCTGGAGCATGGGAATTGAGCAGCTGGATGACACTTTCAGCGTTGATCCATGCGCATGGCCCTGAACACGTGCTATCATCGCACAGCTGTGTTGCACATGCTGGGACACCTGCTGCACGTAAGTGGAGAGCCAACGTTACTATATCCTGTCAGTTGTCAAACTGCGCCTGGAAGCAGCGCGAAAATGTGACCCTTTGCCGTCTCCTCTCATGAAGTGGCGCTGCTGCTGTGATCGGCCCAGTTGCCTACATCGAAGACATGATGGAAGCCAGCAACACTTTCGCCCTCACCGAGTTTATCGAAGCTCCTATGACGAGCCAAGCTTGTCAACTAGCTTTCAACATTAACGCAAACCTTCTGACACATAAGAAAAAACAGCTCAGAACTCTGCTACGACAATACAAAAAGTGTTTTTTATCTTCGTCGAACATTCGATGGACCCCGGTCGCAAAACATCGCATCCCGACAGAAGAAAGTGCTAGGCCACTTCGTCAGAGCCCATACAGAGTGTCGACGAAAGAACGCGACACTATAAAGAAGCAAGTCAACGTAATGCTACGTTTTCAAAGAGTCCATGGGCGTCCCCCGTTGTGTTAGCCAAGAAGAAGGACTGAACCCTACGCTTTTGCATCAACTATCACTACCTGAACAAGATGAAAAAGAAGGACGTGTATCCTCTCCCCCAGATAGACGACGCCATGGATCGACTTCACATTGCGAGGCACTATTCTACGATGGGCCTCAAGACCGGCTATTGGCAGATTGAAGTCGACGAGAAAGACCAAGAAAAAAACTGCATTTATTACACCGGATGGCCTGTTCAAGTTCAAGCTTATGCCCTTTTGTCTTTGCTCGATACCCGCGACTTTCCAACATGTTATGGATTCAGAACTGGCCAACTTCAAGTGGCAAACTTGCCTTGTGTACCTGAACAACGTCATGGTGTTTTCCTCAAATTTCAACGAACACCTCCAGTGCCTTGAAGCTATAATGCAAGCAATCAAGAACTCCGGACTCATCCTCAAGGTCGAAAAGTGCCACTTCGCATACGAGGAGCTCTTGTTCCTGGGCCACGTCATCAGAAAGTCCAGCGTTCGCCCCGACCCGCAGAAAACAGCTATCATCCCCACCATCCCGCCGCCCACCGACAAGAAGGCCGTGCATCAATTTCTTGGCCTATGTGCCTATTACAGGCGGCTTGCCAAAAACTTTGCTTGCATTTCAGAGCCACTCACTAACCTTACCAGGACCGACATAGAGCTTAAGTGGGAAACACCACAGGAGGAAGCATTTTAAAAACTCAAACGACGCCTGCAGACGCCTCCGCTACTTGCACATTTTGACGAATTCGCCAGGACAGAAATACACACTGACGCAAGCAGTGTAGGACTCGGCGCCGTTCTTGTTCAGAGGACTAACCGACTGGAAAGAGTCATCAGTTATGCTAGCCAGTCGCTATCGAAGGCAGAGACCAACTATTCTACAGCCAGAAAAGGAACACCTTGCAATCATCTGGGCTACATTGAAGCTCCGCCCCGACCTTTACAGCAGAACTTTCAAAGCTGTGAGCGACCACCATGCCTTGTGTTGGCTAGCTAACTTGAGAGACCCTTCAGGTCGCCTTGCTTGGTGAAGCCTGAAATTTCAGGAATTTGACGTTACCGTCGTTTACAAGTCTGGGAGAAAACACTACAACGCCGATTGCCTGTCTTGTGCCCCCGTCAAACCACCACCGAAAGACGACCCAGGCGATGACCGATTCTTAGGAATCATAAGTGCCGACGACTTCGCTGAGCGACAGTGAGCTGACCCGAAACTCAGGAGCGTTGTAGAATATCTCAAGGGTAAGGCCGCCATTATCCCAAAAGTATTCAAATGAGGAGTTGAGTCGTTTTTCTTGCGGAACGGCATTCTCCTGAAGAAAAACTTCTCGCCCCTTCGGGCCAACTACCTCGTCGTAGTACCTTCAGCGTTGCATCCAGAGCTTTGGATACTTACTCTACACGATGAATTGACAGCTGGACACCTTGGTGTTTCCCGTATGCTCGCAAGAATACAGGAGAAGTACTACTGGCCACGTCTTTCCGCTGACGTTACTTGTTATGTGAAGACATTCCGGGACTGCCAACGATAAAAGACACCGCCGACCATGCCAGCAGAATTTCTGCAGCCCATTGAGCCACCTCACAGTCCGTTCCAGCAAATCAGCATGGACTTACTTGGGCCGTTCCTGACGTCGAATTCCGGGAACAAATGGATCGTTGTAGCCACCGACTACCTCATGCGCTACGCCGAGACAAGAGCCCTGCCCAAAAGCAGTGCCGCTGTGGTAGCAAAGTTCTTCGTCCAGAACAACGTCCTGCGTCATGGAACTCGACAGCTCCTCATTGCTGAAAGAGGTAGGGCTTTTACGATGGGTCCAACTCATGCAATCCTGAGGTACAGCAAGACAAGTCACCACCGAACCACTGCCTACCATTCACAGACCAATGGCCTCACCGAGGGTCTTAACAAGACTATCTCCAATATGCTGGCCATGTACATCGACATTGAGCACAAGACGTGGGATGCAATCCTTCCGTACATGACTTTCGCTTACAATATGGCCATCCAGGAAATGACGCATATGACACCGTACAGCTGGTCTATGGAAGGAGCCCGTTGACGACGCTCAACGCTATGCTTCCAAACGTCGCTGACGCAGAGAACCTCGACGTCACCGCCTACCTTCAGCGCGCTGAAGAAGCTCGTCAACTCGCCCACCTGCGCATCAAAAATTAGCAGGCAACCCTGCCGTCATTACAATCTTCGACGAAGTTTCGTGGAATATCAGCCTAGTGACCATGTTTCGGTGTGGACGCCGATACGCCGACGAGAACTCAGTGAAAAACTTCGTCGACTCTACTTTGGACCAAATAAGGTAGTTGGACGTCTTGGTACACTCGACTACGAGGTTGTTCCCCACAGCATTATGAACTCTCAACGCCACCGTGCTCAACCTGAAGTCGTCCATGTCGTGCGCCTTAAGCCATTTCATGCGTGAACCTGAGGACTGTATTTTGTTGTTATTGCTGTGCTTTATTGCTTGTACTTATTGTTCATTTCTTAATTTATTATTGTACTTTCGTCTTTTGTTAAAGCATCGGGACGATGATTTTTTCCGAGGGGGGGGGAATGCCATATTCTCTTCTTAAGTTTGGTTATCGCCCTATTTCACTGTCAGTAATTCTCAGCACAAACTGCGCCTTCAGTGTCGAGGAGCTTTGGGACTGCAGTAGATCATTTTCTTAAGATTATGCCCACTTCATACACATTTCAGATTAGTGTGAAGCCTATGTGGCCACTAGCGATAACGCTAAATCTTCGATGGCTTGTGTATATAAATGCCAACGCGCTTCACAGCTTGTCAGTTGATCGACGGCCAACGCTCTGTTCACCACTATCAGTGCCAGTGTGTATTGCTGTGATCTTACTTTTCATTTGTTTGTCAGAAGTCCGACTCGAATAACCAGTTTCATCTTCAATCTATAGTCTGCTCTCTTCATCCACGTCACAACCCCGTGACTATACGTTTTGCCGCATTGCACTGTTGTACTGCAGCAAAAGTGGCTTAAGCAGTGTTCTGCACAGATTGGAGCAAGGCCAAGAAATTTTTGAACGCCACTACGCCTACTTTTCAGCTTTACGCCAGATAAAGTAACAAATGCATAAGCTTGTTGATCCGGTTCTTGACATTTATCGCCGGGAAGACGCAACTAACGCAACTTAGACGAAAAAATGTTTTATGTGCCTTTGCTATGGCGACCAAGGTGGTAGCAATGCCATCGTTCACAGCACGTTGACTCTGTTCGCAAGCAAAAAAAAAAAAAAAAAAAACGCGGTATGTGCTTCTAGCCCTAGCTGCTAACGTATACCAGAAAGTTCATATTTCTGCGAAGCGTTGGTAACGGTAACGCGTTTTTGTCTAGAAGTTGCGTCACCCCACCAATAGGCATCCGCTGCAATCAGCGGATGGATGGGCGCGTGGCTTCGTCACTTTAGTTCGTCGATCGTGTGTCGCAACTGCCCTGACTTAATGAGAATGTATCTTACATCGTGGTTTAGGATTAGGGTCTGCGCGTTTGGTTTGATTGATGATGCAAACTGCAGGTGACCATATGGCCTTTATTTCTCGCTGAGAAAAAATTTTGAGGCTGGTGCAGCGTGGTGCAATTTCAGCGAATTTCATAATTTTTGCGTAGCTCGGCACAAAAATGGGGATTTGTACCAAATTGGCACAATCGCCGCAGCTGTTGCACCCCTGCACTAACAGTTAGCTTAAGCTCACTTGATATTGTCATGAATTTTTCAATGCAACCAATAGTTGAATGTAGGAACAGTGCAACCGAGAAGTAGTTATACTTCATAACTACGGAAGCGAAAAAACAAGGACAGAAAAGAGCGCTCATTTCTGCCCTTGTTTTTTCGCTTCCGTATTTACGAAGAAAGTACTTCTAGGTTGCGCTGTTCCTACATTCAGTCATGTCCTACCAACTTGCCCAAGTTTCCATGCAACAAATAGTACTTTCGAGCACAAGTTTGCGCAGAACAACCATATCACCAACTGCTTCCACCAACCATCTTCGCACCTTTTCACTATATCCAGCGATAGTTGAAAGCTCGTTGAAGAGCAATGCAGGGCTTTCGATGGCAACTGCATCATCATCTGCAGAGCACACACTTTCATCATGGTCAGAATCACTAGACACTCTGTTTTCATTTTCACCTCCATTTCATTTATTGCGGCGCTTAACGTCCAGAACTGGCCGCACAGTGCGAAGCTTCCGCTTTTTTCAGGGCTTTGATAAATATTACAGGCTATTGGGAAAGAGACATGCTACAGCGTCTTTTTTTAGTGTCCACTTATCACGTGGTACGGTGACCACTTAACCATTGACATTGTGGATGAAATCTTTAACGAGATCTTCTGGCTGGAAGTGCAGGTCACACACGACACAAGAGGTGGTAATTTCTTTGTCGAGCCTTGGAGTAGCACACTGCCATTCGTGAAGATGTGAAGCACTCTTCGGCGGCTTGAAAAAATGTTTCTTCTCGCTCGGAGATTGCACTGAATCATAGCCACTCCTACAGCCCGTCACAAGACACTGAGGCATATTTGCTCACGGGGGACGCGTCATTATCATGGCGCATAGATAACCAACACGAGCAAACAAAGAGCACCCATCGGCACTTGTGCCAAATGTTACCAGATATAGCAACGTTACCTCTGCCAACGTTACCATTATTTTCTGCCGTACCATATACTTTTCCTGCCAGACTGCCTATACTTTCCCTACCAGACTGCAAAGGAAAGTATAGGGGATGTTAATGGTAGTAAATGTATTTTAACGAACAAATACAGCGCCGGAGGCTAAAACAGCTATTTATTATTGGCGAACTTGTGCCCGTCAACTAAATACACAAAAGTTGAGCTCACTAGTGAAAACCTCGTCAACTTCTCTTGTGTCTCGCCTCCAGCTGCTCCTCGAAAAACCGCCAGCGTTCTTTTTCCAGCGCGTGGTGTGGTGACACGTGCAGCCAGCGTTGCATGGCGCGTTTATAGCTTGGAGCGTTTGGCTTGTCCGTTGGTGTGGCAGAATTCATAGCAGCAGAAAGCGGCGCAGTACTTCAGCAGGTGCCTAACAACATGCGGCATTAGTCCCCCCCCCCCTAGTAAATGTCACGAAAGAAAAGTGGACAAAAAGATAACTTGCCGTGCACAGAGAATGAACCAGCGACCTTAGAATGATGCGTCCGATGCTGTACCAACTGAGCTGCCACGGCGGCTAACCCCTGTCCACTTTACGGTACGCTATGCGCATTAAACATAGGAGCATCTGTCAGCGCTGCCAGTAGACACTACGGCGAGTGTAGGACACTTTTTCTGCCTGTTGGTGTCACGTAGCATGTGATTTTATCATGGGCTGGCAGCTGACCAATTTTCCCTCGTGTACTACTTGAAGACATCCTCTGCCAGAACAGAACCTTTGCTATACGTCTAGAAAGGAAGTGCAAACGTAAGGGCCAGCTTTTTTTGTTTAGACACAATATTAATGAGATTTAACAGACAACACTGTCAAGGAAAGTATAGGAGATGTTATTGATAATAAGTGTAATTTAAATGTCATGAAAAAAAAGTGGACGAAAAGATATCTACGAGTGGCTTGGATTAGCTGCAACTTTGGCAGTTTGGTTTTGGAACCACTACTGTTGAGGTCAGCCTCGGCTGACCTTGGCACAATATATGCGAAAAACTGCCATTCGGCGCAGTATGTAGTCGTAATTCAGTTTTAGCGCAGTTTGGCACAGTACTTCCATCAATGACATGTGTGTCTAGTCTTTCTGCCTTGTCCTTGTGTAACAGTAGAACGACCCATCTCAGTCAGTCAGAGGACACCCCTTCCGCACTGTTGACCGAGGAGGCACCTACCTGCAGTGGACGACAATGGGTCCTGGGAAACGTGCCTGCAGCTGCTCTACTTCCAGGGCCAATGAGAGCAGCTGGGTGGGCGAGGCTGGTGCCCGATGGTCGGGCCACGCTGTGTACCACAGGTGCTGCACCCGCCGCTGCTCCCCACTTTTCTGCACCACCCAGCATCGTTGAGAGAGAATGGAGTGAAGCATAGCCACATCCATAGAGTTTACTAAAATTAACTAGAGGGTACTCTGGCATGCGATCATTCAGCGACCAAGGGAATGATTGGTAGTACAAGGATTTGCCTAGTTTTCGTACTTGGGGGCCTCGAATCGTAGTGCCTTCGTTTATTGCTGTGTTTCGGTTTTGTTTTGAAGGAAAGAACGAACCCTTTGGAACTTTGTGACCTGATTTGAAATGGTAAGCATAATAGAATAAGGTGGTGAAGCGCAACTGCTGGACATTTGCTGTTTTTTGTTTCGTGGGAAAATAGCTCCCAGCCACACGGACACACACGGAGTCAGAAGTACGAAAATAAACAAATCCGTGTACTACCCACCATTCCCACGCTCGCTGAGGCACCGTGCGTAGCAACTTCCATAGACAATAGCGCCAGAGTTACCGCTAGTGTATATTTAGGAAACTCTATGGCCACATCAAACAAACTTGCTCCAAAAAGAAAAATGTCGAGCTTGGATATATTTTTTTCTACATTGAACAGTTGTAACAACCTCAGGAGTAGTTGAAAGCAAATTATAGTGTCACTGTAGCGGGTACACTAAACATTCGCCACTTTTTGTACACCAAACATCGTGTGGCACTGTGCCCCTGCGAGTGCACTACAACTAGCCGTACTTCCTCCCTTTATTAAAAACAGTCACTCCATGCCAAGTGTACCATTATACACTCAACCATCTTCAACTATGTTTAAAAAATATACAAGAAAATATATTTTAGGGAAAATATTTTGTTGTGGAGTTTAAGCTAATTTAAATTTTCTGAATGACAATAAATCAGTTGGGATGAAAAAATGTGGGAATGATGATGATATATGTTGTTTAATGGCGCAAGGGCCATTGATGGCCAAAGAGCGCCAGGAATTGATATGGGATGAGAGCAATGGTTATGATAAATGGCTGTAAAAGGGCCTAAAGTTCTGCGCTCTAAAGATGCGTAAAACATATATTTATTAAAATCATGAAAGTGAAGTGAAGCATGCCTGGTGAGAATGGGTCTTTAATTGTCATGACATCATAAAATAGGAGCGTTATAATTAGCACCGATTTCTCGCCAGCGCCCTTGGTCCCAAGGGCCGGGAGACAGGTGCTCTTTTGGATGTAGCATTCGCAGCAGCAGCCTCCTTTCGGAGGCCGTGCTACCGATCACTTGAGTAAATAACATGGAAAGTATTTACTTCCTCCAAGAATGCATTCAATGCATTATACTTAAAAAGAGGTTTGCGACCAATAAACATAGCTGGGTGAAGGGATATGTGTTCCTTGTACGCTAGTGTAAAATGTTTTTTCCTGTAAGCCTCTAGCTCAGAGCATTCAAGGAGTATGTGAAGTATGGTAAGTGGACGGCCACATCTGTGACAGCTGGGTGGGTCACCACCAGACAAAAGGTGTGTGTGCGTGCTGTATGTGTGTCCTATTCTAAGCCGACAGAGACTGACCTCTGTGCGGCGTGTTTTCGACATGGGTGGCCAGTTACCGAGGTATGGTTTAATCAAGTGTAACTTGTTATGAGTTTGTTGATCCCATAACTTCTGCCAGTAAGCCCTGAGCTTTTTTCATATGTTTGGTTTTAGGTCCATTATAGGGACAGCAACTGAACAGTTGGCGGAGCTTCTGTTAATTGACGTGGCGAGCTGGTCGGCCAACACATTTCCTTCGATCTCGCGATGTCCTGGCACCCAGCACACGACGATATGTTGCTTGGAAGTATAGGCCGCGCAGAGTACCCAATAGAGGGATATAATTATAGGGTTTCTGTGTTTTTTAAGATTTTTCTACGCTTTTACGACACTCAGGGAGTCTGTGTATATAACTACCCTTGGCGTATTCAATTTTTTGATGCGTTTAACGGCTACGAATAACGCGTAAGCCTCGGCTGTAAAAATGCTTGTGCTGGTGGACAGAACGCCGGCATCCGAGAAGGATGGGCCGACCGCCGCATAGGACACGCCAGTATGGGACTTGGATGCATCAGTATAATATTCTGGACAGTCATATTTATGTTGCAGCTCTAAGAAATACATCCGAATGTGTATGGGGGAGGCATGCTTTGTGACAGCTACGAAAGATGTGTCACAGTCTATAACCTGCCACTGCCATGGCGGGAGCCGCAGAGCGGGGGGGCTGAGGTGGTATTCAAGCAGTGGGACATCTGTTTTTTCAGCTAGGTCTCTGACACGCAGCGAGAAAGGGCGTGTGTGCCATTGCAGGTCGATTGTAAAAAAGTTGAGAGCTGGACAGGTCGTTGATGGTGGAATATGCAGGTTGCTCACTGTTCGCATTTACTTTAAGGAAATACATGAAGGAAGAATAAGTTCTCTGCAGATAGAGTGACCACTCGTCCGATTCTACATAAAGGCTTTCAACTGGGCTTGTTCTAAAGGCACCTGTGGACAGGCGGATGCCTTGATGATGAACAGGGTCCAACATTTTCAGAGCGCTTGGCGTGGCAGAGTGATAGACTATTGCCCCATACTCAAGACGTGAGCGTATAAGGCTTCTATACAGATTCATGAGGCACTTTCTGTCGCTTCCCCACGTTGTTCGTGACAGCACCTTCAGGATATTCATTGTTTTCAAGTATTTATTTTTAAGTTGTTTTATGTGCGGTACAAAGGTTAACTTCGCATCTAAAATTATACCTAGGAACTTATATTCTGTGTTTACGGGTAGACGCTCACCCTTAAGGACCAGTTCAGGATCAAGGTGCAAGCCTCTTTTTCGTGAAAAAAGGACACAGGTGCTTTTCTGTGGGTTCAAATTGAACCCGTTTTCATCAGCCCATTTGGATATCTTGTTAAGGGCGAGCTGAACCTGTCGCTCACAGATCCCAAGAGAACACGATTGAAAACCTATCTGCACATCGTCGACATATGTTGAATAAAAAATATTACGTGGAATGTACAGACGGAGAGAATTCATTTTTATTATAAAGAGCGTACAGCTGAGCACCCCACCCTGTGGCACTCCGGTTTCCTGTACAAATGTTCGGGACAGAACATAGCTCACTCTAACGCAGAAGGTACGATCAGACAGATAGCTTTCAATGACACTGAACATATTACCATGTATACCTAAGTGTGAGAGGTCTCTCAATATTCCAAACCTCCACGTGGTATCGTAGGCCTTCTCCATGTCGAGGAACACAGATAAGAAAACTGATTATGAACAAAAGCCTCACGTATGTGTGCCTCGATACGTATAAGATGGTCGGTGGTAGATCGGCCCTCTCTAAACCCGCACTGGCATGGGTCGAGCAATTTGTTTGTTTCTAAGTAGTGGAGTAAGCGGCAATTAATCATTTTTTCAAATAGTTTGCAGAGGCAGCTTGTTAACGCTACGGGTCTATAACTTGATACAGTAGAGGGATCCTTTCTCTGCTTCAAAATTGGAATTATAACAGCCTCCTTCCAGAAGGAGGGGATCACACCTGAAAACCATATGCGATTATAAAGACAGAGGAGGGTTTCTTTAGTTTCGGAGAGTAGTTCCTTCAGCATCGCGTACATTACATTGTCAGAACCTGGGGTAGATGTATTACAGCAGCTGAGTGCTGTTCGCAGTTCTGCTAAGCAGAATGGTTGATTGTATGCCTCATTTCTTGTGGATTTTCTTTCTAACTTTTGTTTTTCTATTCGTGCCTTGTAATTCTGAAAGGATTCGGAGTAGTGTGAGGAGCTCGATATGTGTTCGAAATGTGTGCGAAGAAAGTTGGCTTGATCCTCCAAGCTTTCCCCGAGGCTATTTACTAGTGGAAGGCAATACGTTTGTTGGCCCTTAATTTTCTTGACCTTATTCCACACTTTTCCCTCATCTGTGTACGAGTTGATACTCGATATAAAGTTTGTCCAGCTCTCTCGTCTAGCTTGTCGACGCGTTTTCCTTGCCTGCGATTTGACCCGCTTGAAATTTTCCAGGTTTTCTGCTGTAGGGGAATCGCGAAGCAACGCCCAAGCTTTGTTCTGAGTGGTCCGTGCTTTCCTGCATGCGTCGTTCCACCATGGGACTCGCCGCTTAGAAGACATGCCGCTCGTTTTGGCAATACATTTAGATGCGGCATCAAGTATAAAAGCTGTAAAATACGTGACAGAGTCATCTATGGTCTGGGCAGACAGCTCAGTCCATGTCATGTATGTAAAACTTCTACACCTTTCCCAATCAGCTGAGTCAATCTTCCATCGAGGAACCTGCTTGTCGAGGAACAAAGAACCTAGTTGTTCTTTGTTCGGCGCACTCAGGATGATTGGGAAGTGGTCACTACCATAAGGGTTTTTAAGAACTTTCCACTTAAAAACAGGTAAAAGGGAAGGTGATGAAATGCTAAGATTTATGGAGGAGTACGTGTTGTTTGCAAAGCTAAAATACGTAGGCTCCTTTATATTTAAAAGACATAAACTAGAAGAGAAAAGGAGCTGCTCAATGAGACGTCCTCGCGCATCACGCGATTTCCCCGATCAAACATGCAATCAATATCATAGCTCCCGTGCTCTCTCACATTTATAACTTGTCCCTATCAACAGGCTGTTTCCCAAAACAAATGCAAACGTCCGTTGTCAGCGTGTTATATAAGAAAGGAGACAAGAATGATCTTACGAACTATCGGCCAATTTCTATATTACCCATATTCTCGAAAGGCTTGGAGAAAATTATTTTTAAAAGACTTATGAATTTTTGTATGAAGTTTAACATAATATCCCAATCTCAACATGGTTTTATGAAGGGCAGGTCGACGGAGACTGCTTTACTAGCTCAGAAAGAAATAATCCTTAAATCGTTTGAGAGTAAAGAACTTTGCATTGGTGTTTTCATAGATTTTTCTAAGGCTTTCGTCCGTCTCTGTCATCATACTTTATTTGAAAAATTAGAAGTATATGGTGTTCGCGGCATTCCACTTTCCCTCTTGAAATCTTACTTCAAGTACCGCTCACAAT